CTAAAGTGACACAAACAGAGCAACGAAACAGGAATAGTTCTGTGGCCTTACTTCTGTATTTTCCTACAATAAAATACACCTGGATAGAGATCTGGATGGGCTGAGCCGAGTTATGACAACCATCCCAAGTGATATCCAAGGACTTAGAGATCAGTGATCACCAAAAAAAGCCAGGGAACATATTTAAAAGCTTTACTAGAAAACCAGGAGCGCTGTTCCTTCTGACTCAAGCCAGTTCCTGTGGAAAGCCACTGCAAGACCTGCTGGTGTCTGACGTGAGAAGTTTTTCCTCCAAGTGTTCAACACCAGCAGTGGCCATCACCATTCTCCCCAGTCACAACCTGCACCAGAGCTACCAAAATTCCCCTACACCATCTCAGTCCACAGCAGTGACACAGAGCAGAAGGCACAGATTTCACCCTCCCAGGCCAAATTTACACTCCAAGCCGTCAAGACAAAACATTTACTCGCAAACTGACCAAATATTCTCTAGGAATTACTGAAAACAGCCACTCGCTGTCACAGCAGGTTTTTTGCAGTTATGTTTAAAATGCCAACCACTTCTCCAGGAGGTATCCAAAGCATCTCCTGCGAGACAGACCCTGGAACACGGCAAAGCCAAACAAAGCCCATTTCCCACACCAAAAAAAGCCCTTAGAAGTTATTTATTTTCTCCAAGATTGCCCTGATCTGTAATGTATTCTACTGATTTTCAAGGAGCATTTTTGTTTCCTGAAACCCAGTGCTTTTCCTGGACTTGGCTGCCACTGTGAATGTCTTAATTCTCCCCCAGCACAGGAGATTGCACACAACAGTCACATGGTGCATCATTAAGAGGCTTTTACTCCTCTTTGCCCTTTAAAACACCAGTAAAGGGACAAAGCCATGTTCTTTCAGATAACTGGAAGAAAACACAGTGAGGGGAAAAAAATATGGAAGGGCAGCACTTGTGTTGGGGACAACTGTTACTATATTTAGTCGCCTTGTTCTGCAAGCTGCTGAGCATCTGTTTCAGTGATGGTGAACGACGGGTTTTTTCCAGCATTAATTAGGTGAACCCAAACCACTGCTCCCACCACTTCCCCAAGCTCACATCTCCCAAATCATAACTCGGATTTGCTACTTATTCCACCTGAACAGTGGATCTCCAATCCTGGCACTGGCTACGTTTCTATTTCAGGGTGCCTTAATAGCTCAGTTGAAAAGAAATATAGAGCATTAGTTTTTGAAAAGGGAGTATTTGGGTAAGAAACTGAAAGACAGTTTCAAAGCATTTAAATGCATGGAGAATCTCTCCTTTGCAATCCCCTTTAATATCAAGGAAACAGATTTTTAAAAGGGCTTCTAAGGAAAAAAAAACAGTACTGTTCATGTAAACCAGTGCTTCTTGAGACCAGCTTCAGTATTCTCTAATTTGAGAGAAGAATTCACAGCAGGGAGTGTTATTTCTATTCACCTTAGTAAACTAAACAAACTAATCAGGAGCATTTGGGGAAAAAGAATAAAAACATGTATTTCTTCGAAATTCTTAATTCATCTCTTTACAGAATTCCTTGTGAGGCTGCAAATCCCAGCAAGGTTCCCACACTCGGTGGTTAAGTGAAGGGGGGAGGAGAGGCAGCAAACCCTCCATACTCCTGCCGAGCTGTAAGTTTTAGCAGTTTTCCCTGAATTTTTGCTTCTTTGGAAACAAGGTGGTCGTTTCTCAAGCGGGGACCGTGCAGCAGCCCAGCCAACGGCTCTCCATCTGGGAAGGACACTATTTCCCAAGCCCGGTGGAAAAACAAACACTCGGGCGAGCTGCTCGGAGGCTCCGGGGGTAAGGCGATTCCCGGCCGCAGCCCAGTGGAGGTTTTGGGCGGTTTTGCCCCAAACCTCGCCCCGCTCCCATGGCTCAGCCTCCCCGCACGCGCTTCGCCCTATTCCCAGGCTGGGGGATGGGTGGGAACCGGGCTCTGCCAAGCCCCGCTCCCTCCGAAAAGACTTTCCCTCCCGACTGCAGCGTCCTTTCCAAGCAGGGAGCCTTCCCCTTCCCACCTTCCCTTCCCTCTGGAGACAGCCAGCACGCCGGGCAAGCCCTGTGCAGCGCCTGTCCCTTCCCCCAGGCGAGCACGGGCATACAAAGGAAGCCTTGCTCCATTGTCCACCTACAGCACCTCCACAGCGAGCCTCGCAGCCGGCTCCCCGCTCAGCCCCTCACCCCTTTTCCAAATATTCCACTGGGTACATCCCACTAGCATTCGGAGGCGGCGTGTCATTCCCTCCCCCTGCTTTAGTACCTGCAGCCAAAGGGCTGAAGCGTGTTTTAACTGTTTACTGCCGTGAGATCAGCCTCGTCCAAACACACAAATCCTGGGCAAAAATCACTTGGCAAAAAACAGGGAGAAATGCCTGGCTACAAAGCTCCTTCCCAAACCTCCCATCGCAATTTGCCGAGATAAAAACAACCAAAAAAAGGTAATTAATTCAGCGCCTGCCATTTTTCCCATCCATCTCCAAGCAACAGTACCATGGCAACTTTTTCCCTCCTTTAATACATCTTATAAAAGGAGGAGGACTGGACAAAATAAAACCGAGGAATGTCAGACTTCCAGTGTGGAGCGCCTATTCCCTCAGCTAGTTACGGCTGGAATTAACCAAATGACCCTTTGGGGTTTTTTTTTTCCCCCAAAAACCTGGCTTTGTAAACAGCACTGGGTCACCTAACCTGGACTTGAGGGACATGACAAACCACCCTGAACACACATCCACCATCCGTGCCTTCACCAAGCAGCAAATTCTTGGCTCGGGGTTTAATAAAGGTGAAAAAAGGTGAAGCTTGATTAAAACATGGCAGTTTCAGAGCGATGAGGATGCAGAGATGGGGTTTGGCTGCTGCAGCAGCTGAGGCCAGGAGGATGGAGGAGGATGCGATACCCCCAGTCGTTCCACAACAGACGACCAGAAACCAGGGAAGAGACGCTGGGACCTTCCTTTCTCCCCGTCGGTGTCACCGCATCTATTTTTCCCATGGTGACTCATTATTAAGGACGCTCCGTCATTTTTCCAGCACAGGAAGATTAAAGGAAGCTTCAAAATCCATTTTTTTCTGCTGCTGGTGGGATTAAAGCAAAGCGCCTGGAGGGGCCATGAGCTGAGCAGGGCTCGTTACTCTCTTTTTCTTCCTAAAAACCAGCTTCCAGCGTGAGGTGCATCAACTCGAGAGCATTTCCACAGGAAAAAGGTGTTGCTGAGGCGGTGAGGAAGAAGCCTCTTCCTCCTCCTCCTCCTCGCAGGGAAAGACGGAGGGAGGAGGAAAAAAACCCAACCATGCCAACAGCTACTACTTCCTTATTAGCAGGATTAACCTATGCAATAAAAAAAAAAAAAAGGAAAAAACAACCCAGCACGATATAACGAGTCCAGAGTGCTTCCCGCGTGCAGGATCCCGTGTTTTCTTCGTGGGTTTGTGTGATTTTTTTTCCCCCAAGTCACGTTTTCGCAGCTGCAGGCGCTTCGGTTCCCACAGCTCGCTGCACCTCGGGGGGACACGCAGCATCCTCCACGGCTCCAGGTGGGAGGGAAACGCAGTGAAATGAGCGAAAATAAACAGAAAAAGAAGTCCCAGCGTTGGATAATTTAGGAAAAAAAAAAAAAAAAAAGGAATGGAATGGAAAACAAGTCGGCCAGGCTCAGCGCTGCTTCCCGACATCCTCGGCATGGGAGCCGCTCGGTGCCGACCTCCGAGCCCCGCTCGCTGCTGCTCCGTCGTTTCGGGTCCATTTTTAGCCATTTTTGTATTTCCCCGCTCCGGCCGCGCCGCCGATCCCGCCATGGCGCGGGTTATTTACAGCGCTGTTTTCCTCCTCCTCTCCACGGGAGCCGCCGTCCCCGCGCACTCCTCCCCCCCTTTCCCACGTTTCTCCCCTCGTTTCTCCCCACACCGCGGGTCGGGCCGGACGGGGCCCCACTCACCGCTTGAAGTGCTCGATGATCTTCTCCTCGCGCACGTTCTCCGGCAGGTTGCCCACCCAGAGGTGCCTGGTTTCCCGGACCATGCTGCGCGGCGCGGGGCGAGCCCGCCGCCCGTGCCCCGGCTCCCGGCCGCCGCCTGCCCCCGCGCCGCGATCCCCAAGCCCCTGGGCTGCAGGGGGATCCCCAAGCCCCTGGGCTGCTCCACATGCTCCTCTCCGCTGACACAGGGACGATGTGTCACCCGGAGACACTCCCTCCTCAAAGCAGGGTGTCCCAAGTTGTACTTCATCCAACAGACCAGGGACCTGGCTGCCCTGAAAACCACACAGGAGAAACTCCCACTGCGGGAAGGATTCACCTCCCGCTCCCCCCCGGGGCTGCCACGGCTCCTTAATTAACGTGGGGTGAAGAAATTGCCCGTTGCCAATATCACCCGTCTCTAGTTGCTTGACATGTCACACCAGCTCTGCAACGTACAACTAGACATTTTTTAACCCACAAGATCTTCTTTTCCACCAAAACATGCCATTGCACTGATAAGACACCTATTTCTATGTCCCGAAATGAAAATCAGATCCCATTGTGAGACTCTGAGCAGCTTGAGGCCAGGATAAAACACACACCCACAGCCACGAGTGTTGGTGTTTAAAGCCTTCACTGCTTCCACCACAGAGCAAACCCATATTTCAGTATTTTCCGTGGCCAAAGTCTCCTGATGACGTTTTGGTATTGATCAAACCCATGTTTTATTTGTCAGAGCTGCCTTTTGCCACCCAATCCGGGCGGACTCCGTAACCTTCCGGCAACAAGTCCACCTCGCTACTGGTCAAAGTCACTGAGCTGCAGTGGCTTAACAAACATGCAAATCTCCTGATTTAATCACATCTCTGACGCACGTGGACTCGATCCGTGGTGGCCCCGAGCCTTATCCTCAACTCCAGTGCCTGCAAGCCCATCCTTCGGCAGCCCCGTGCCTCAGTTTCCCCAGCGATGATGGGCTCTGCCAACCTGGGATCTACTGATTAATTAAAAACCCCAACAACTCCTTGCACGCAAGCCATCTATTATTCAAAACGTGCGATGGAGCCACGTGTGCACAGGAAAATGTGCTGCCAGCACGCTCCGCCGGTGCTTCCAGTGTGGAACCGGGCTCAGCTTTCCATTTTTTTACCCGGTGGGACGCCCAAGGAGCAGTTTGTACGTGTCTCTACCTTTAAGGGGCTCTCCATTCCGGAGAAGAAAAACCCAAACCAAAACCACCAAAAAATCAAACAGCTTTTCCGTGATAAATTCTCCCCCTCTGATGGAGTGCGCTTGCTGCAACTGTAATTCCAACTGTTCCTTCTCCCTGCTGGGGTGGCATCTCCGAGGGACACGAGGCAACCACACCAGCTCCCAGGTCCTTCCAGGGAATCTCACACGGAGTCGCTGCTGTCACCCGGCCATCTCACAGGACAGGCAGGCGCTGGGAGCTGTCACAAACAAAGCCATCGACTCTGTTGACAGGAGAGGGTTGAGACGAGTGCCAGGAGGGCTCCATTTACACAACAGCCAGCTGGAAGAGCAGCACAAAGCTCAGCTGGTGAGGCAAAACAAAGCTCTGGACCATGGTGATGGTCTTCAAATGCTTTGCAGGGAAGCTGTTCCTAGCTGCAGCTGCACCAGTGATGCTGCTGTAACCAGATCCCCCCAGCTCAGTCGAAGATTTTAAAGAACACAGACCCAGGCTGGAGAGCAGAGCAGGTATAACCCTCCCCTCAGCAGGCCAGAGGGGCTGTGACGAAGGATCAGCACCATCCTTGCATCTGCAGAGCAGACACACATTTGTTCCAGCCCGGTGTCCTGCCATGAGTGACAGTGTGAGGAGCACCCAGGGGTGAGACACGGCTGCACTGCCCTGCGTGCTGCCCTTGCCAGGGCCAGACAGCTGAGGACAAGGGGACTTCAGCTGCTCTCCATGACCCTCGGCCTTTGGGACACACACTGCAAAAAACTATGTAAATGACTCCTGGGAGGGTGTAGCTGAGAGCCTGGCTATCTCCGGACAACTCAGCCAGCCCCACAGTTAAAACATTTGGATGTTTCTTATCAGTGCTTGGAGAGGATTAAAGTGCCAGGCCATTTATTAGGGAGGGAGCAGGTTATAAACCTATCTCAGCTTGAGCACCGTGTTCACGTCAGGAAAAGCAAGGCAAGAACGGGACAGATCAAAAGAGAGCCATTAAAGGCGTGAGAAAATGGGGCTGCCATATAAGGAGCTAATAAAGTTAGCAGCTCTCCAGTTTGAAGGGGAAAAAAAGTGCAGGAGAAGTGGAAAACATCCTTGGGGTTCACACAGCAGCCTCTCTTTGAGGAGGAAAAAGCAATAAATAAAAGTGGGCAGACACAATGCTTCAAAAGGCAGGTTTATCCATTTTGAACACGGCGGAGCTGCCACCCATGGCTGAGAATGCTCACCAAACATTTCAAACACCAAAGATTAGATACTGAACAAGGACAGCAACCAGGGCTCATTGGCTCAGACCACAGCTTCCTACCTGGCTCAGCACACATCTCTGTGCGGTGTGCAGGGAAAGGGGGACATTACACCTCTCCCTGGCTACGTCAGCTGGGATTCATGGGGATCTGGGCAGGAACACCAGGGTTCTCCCCACACCAGGGCACAGCCAGTTCCTTTGCTTTCTGTACAAAACCAGGAGGTTTCCCAGCAAAGAGCCCCAAGAAACACTCAGTGTTCCTTTCTTTGAGCCAGCCAGCTCCAGCCACCATCTTGTCAGGATAAAATATATTTACATGTTTTTCTTGCTCATTGATAGTATTTATTAAAAGAACACTATGACAGCTGAATATCAAATTCACAGCTAGGCTTTTATCTCCTTTTTAAGCCAGCCTGAATTATTGGCCTCATTTTATAGCTTATCCATTCTGCTTTATGCTCATTTTCTCCAAGAAAGAATAGGTGCTGTTTGATATTTAGGCCCATTTGTTGCCAAGACAGAGACTATGGGCTTAGGGGCTGAAAACACTTGGAGCACAGAGCCGGGTTCTGGAGCCTTAACCAACACAAAGCACAGGATTTATATTAATAAAACTCTTGATTTCGGTTCTTTTCGAGGATAGTGCTCCAAATCTTCTGATGAGATGACTCTGCACAGAAAATTCCCTTCACGTTTTTGAAATGCAACATTTAGGAATTTATTTTCTGATGCTCCTCCCTGTGGTGTTCTTATCCACAGCACCAGGGAGGGGAGCTGCCACAAAATGCCACCATTTTAGTCAGTGGCTTAACAGCAGCCACATCCCACAGCCCAGTACACAGGGGGCCCTGGACTTCAGTTGACACTGAACCCACTTTTATGTCTACATAAAAGCACATTTCTGTTTTTAAAATTCCTTCTACAAAGAAGCAGAGGTTTCTTCAGCAGAACCCAGAGTGATGGTTAAGCCACACAACCAAAACTTACATGCCAACATAGGACTGCAAAAGGGTTTACTCTTGCTTATAGTGTGGTAGATATATTAGAAAGAACACCTTTTTTTAGCTTGTTGTTGGGGGGAAAAAAATCACAGGAATATCACAGGAATCACAGGAACACCACAGTGCCAACTTCTGCCCTGCTTCCCCTTGCCCCCAGACCCCTGTACAACCACATGCTAGAGCTGTGTCTGCTCACTTCACAAGGATTCTCCCCCAGCACAGGGCTTTCATCACTAGACAGGACTAAAGCATTCCAGGCTGCAAAAGGTTGCATTTTAAGGGAAAACCAAAGAAAACAAAAATTAAAAAGACAGCTCCATGTGATTTGATACCGAAATAGGACGACTGTAAAGGATATAAATCCCCTGGGACTGGTTAGATCACTGAATCCTATACTTTGCCATTTTTAACACCTAATTAACTCTATTAACTCTATATCCAGATGTGATGTTTACCTGTGTGCAATGCCCAGGAGAAAAAAAATCTCAGAAATTACACTGGAAATGTTACAGGACAAGGCTTTAGCACAAGCCCCACAGTCCAAACCTGCAAGCTACAGGCTGCTCTTCCCACATTCCGCATTGGATTGAGCAGCAACCCCAGAACAAAATAAACTCCGAGCCACCACTATCTGAGCTTTGGTTTCATCAAACACCATTTTGATACCACAGCAACGTGAGGGTGTTTAAATGAAGAGGAGTGAGCCCATGTCTGTAGAGTTACCACTCCTTCACTCCAGAGAAAGCACAAAGAGAAATATTTGTGCATCAATACCTGCTGCGTTCTAAAGCCTCTCCTCCAACACAGCATGGGAGAAGTTCCTCATCTGCCTTTGGCTTTTATTTTCACCTCTGCAGATCTCACAGTGCAGCTTTTTAACTCCTTGGGCTAAGAGCAAAGCTTGAAAGACTGTGGTTTTCTCCTGAACAGAGGAGGAGTGGAGGTTTGTATTGCTTTTTGGCACTGGAAATTCAGGTTTTGTTTAGCTTGGAAATATCATGGATGTAGCTCGAGTAACTCTTCAGGGTGGTAAAAGTTCAGTGCTCACAAGGCAATTCTCAGTCGTTTATCCTAAACTGCCAAAGGAAAGTAATTTAGAGTCCCACAGGGTGTGCCAGCCTGAAAAATGTGGAATCATCCCAACAGGCAGCTTCTTGCTCCTCCGAACCTCCCTGCCAGCAAAGGCCTATGAAGAGTACAAGGTGTATCTCCAAACCAACACAGCCCTAACAAGGGAATAAAATCCAAATCCCTGTCCACACTGCCTTATTCCAAACAAGGCTCTAGGCACACTTTTCACACACCTACCACAGGGAGCAGGGCATGAAATCTGGCCTGGCCACCTCATCCCCACCCTGCACTTAATTTTGGCTAAAAACAAGAATAAAGCCGTAGCTGTGCTAGAAATCCCTGCAGCAACCAGTCAGTGAAATAATTTCCCCTAAGGGGCTTCTCCAGGGCCGGGTCAGGCAGTGGCATCCATGGAATCCTGATGCGATATCCTCATTAAGAGTGGCTAACGACCCCCAGCACTCGCTGTGCACTAATGACTGCGGGAAGCTGCGCCTCCGAGCCATGTGTGACCTGGCAGAGACCAGCACCAGGTCTCTGGTTATTACCTTTGCAACACAACAAAAGAAAGGACACCCAGTAAGGAAGCGTTTCCTGGCGAGTGAGCAGGACTCTGAGGAATGGAGTAATGAACCATCTCACAGGAGCAAGTTCACAGAGAAAAAAAAAAATGTAATTCAAGGGGACCCTGATCTTCATCAACACCATTTAAGATGTTCAACACTCCCTCTGACTTTCACTGCCTTTGCCTGAGCAAAATTAGGAGGAATAGACTATCCCACATAGGTCTGTGGGCTTGGAGGGAAAGGGGCCTCACAGTTTTGCTCCCTGGAGGCACCCGCTCTCCCCACCCCTTTTGTGTGTATTTTTTTTAACGTGCCACACATCAGCACAATGCTGACAAGGGCTTTGTATGTTTTCTGCCTATGCAGCAGTTCAAGAGACACAACTCTGGATTTTTTGAAAGGGAAAGGGGGAGGGAGCTGCCCTTTGCTGTACTGTTGAATTGCACTGCTTGCTCTTCTGCATGACCACAGGGAAGGGAAAAAGCACCAAGGTTTAAAAACAGAACCATTTTTAGTAGCCAAAAGGGTCAAACTCAGTCTTCTCACAAGATACAGTGGAGCTCAGAATAAAGTCTACCAGAGACAAGAAAAAAAATTATAAATCACCAGGGTTTCTTCTCTGGAGTTGGATGTGACCCCAGAAAACACCTCATCCATCCTCGCTGCTGTTACAGTCTCCACATTTGCACACCTGCCAATGCAGATTCCAGCACTGAGGAAAAAAAAGGAGGGAAAGGTCTGGAAAGCTGGACTGTCGTTTTTTCCACCTGCCAGGAGCAGCTCAGCGAAGCCCGGGTGGCTGAGCTCCAAGGAGCAGCGAGCAGAGCACGTTACCAGCCTTCTGGAGTTCCCATCTCACACGCACATGCGTGATTCGGACAGCGCTGGCAAACAGCTTCCTTCAAAAATAAGGATGACTAATCCACAGCAGCGCCGCTTTATTTATTTATTTTGAAGGCCACAAGGCAGAGCTTTTTCCAGAAGCATCAGCCTTTGTGAATCAGCAAGCAGTGGGAAGGGGAAGCCCTGGGACGCGCTCACGCTCTGCCGACAGAAGTAATCACAGGAGCACTGTGGGTTTGTGTGGCCCGTGTGTGACACACGCAGACGTGGCTGGAGCCTCGTCCCTCGTGCTCCTGGCAAGGCCAGATCCCACTGCCTGGCTGACTCCTGGATCCCTGCAGGGTTTCTAGGGATCTGCTGTGGAGAGGGGCTACATAAACAATACATTGTTTCCCTTGGAAAAACATACAAAAAACAAACCAGAGGAAAAAAATAAGTCATGAAACAGCTTTAACCCATAACTGCAGCAACCCCCTGGGTGCTGGAAAAAAACGGGGTGCAGGGGTTTGGGATCAAAGCAGAGCACCTGAATCACTCAGTGGGCCCAGTCCCCCAGCAAGGTCACTCTGGCTCACAGGGACACACATCAGTGCTCCAGTGCAAGGCTGTGCTGGGACTGCAATGGATGCAGCGTTGCAGGAGGTCACTTAGGGACTGCAAAAAGGGAATGGATTAAAAAAAAAATTTAAAAAATCCATCAGCAGATGTTTACTGACGTGCAGCAAATCCACAGCTTGGCTCTGGAAAGCTGCATGGCTGGAGGGAGAACAGCCCACTTCCCAGGACGCAGCAAATACTCTGCATCTACAGATTTAGGTTACAGCTTTTAGCCAGCCCCACACCCCACCCCACCCACCACCCCCCACCAAAAAAAAAACCCAAACCAAATTTGTCATCTTTTTAAGCACTCAGAAATTGAGCTTTGCCACCGAGGTGATTTTGGGTGGTGGCACCATTAAATACTTACCCACCTCACAGCCAAGGGCTGCACAATCTGAAATTTGTGAGTGTTTGCAAATGGTTTGGAAAGCTTTCCAAGGAAGGTGCTGTACGATTGTAAATCCTTCCCGTTATTAATAAAAGGGAGCTATTGTTCCAGCTCTAATCAAGCCTTGTCTCCAGCTGGGCAATTTTAAAATGCAATTCAAAACACACACAGGAAAAAAAAAAAAAGATCATGAGGAAGCTTCGGGAAAAAAAAAAACCACACAAAACAAAACAACAAAACCCAAACAAAACAGTGAAGGAGAAAGGGGGGGGGGAGGAAAATAAAAAATAATGCTCTTGCTATTTAAAATTATTTCCAAGCAGGAGCATGCTGGGGCGGTGGGGGGGGGAAATCCCCTCTCCCACCGCCTGGGAAAGGTCACTTATGCCATCGGTGCCATGGCCACGCCGGAGGAGAGCTGCCAGCCCTGCCTCATCCATCTCCATCAGCGACAGCTCTGCTTTCCATTTATTTAGAGGGAGAAAAAAAAAAAAAAAAGCCAACAAAAAATCCCAACCAAAAAAACCCACAAACCCCTCCAAGTCGCAAACACCTCCCAGCGCTCTGTTTTCAAGGCTGGGGAACGGAGCAAGGGGGAGAGGCTTGGAATGAGGCTCCCAGGCAGGGAGAGGTGGCGCATCCTCCGCATCCTCCTCTTCCTCCTCCTCCCCGGCGCTGCGGCAAAGGCGCCGCAGTGGGGGCTCCCCGCCCCCGTGGAAACTTCTGGAACAAGCAGCCGAGCTGGAGAGAGGAGAGAAACCTTTATACCCGCAGAGGGGAGAGGAAAAAAAAACAAACCCAAAGCCATGTAATAAAACGGAGAGGATTGCACAAGGCCGGGGAAAAATAAGGGATCTCTGTAAAAGTGAAGCCCCCGAGCGGCTCCGGCAGCCCCGGCTCGGGGGTGGTGCAGCCGCCTCGGCTCGAAACAAAACGCCCCAACAAAGCGTATTTAAAAACAAAAAGAGAGGAAAAAAATGGTGGTGTTTGTAGCGCGAGATGGTGGGATAAAGGAGCTGATCCCTCCTCCTGGATCTACAGCAAAGCCGGCCATTGCAGTTCCATTTATCCTTTTTTTTTTTGTGCAATGAATTGTCTGATCCGGACGATTGGGTTGCATTTGCAGCTTCACTTACTGCGGTTTGGTTCTGTTGTGCTTTTTTTTCCTTTTTGTTTCTTTTTCGTTGTTTGTTTTGGGGTTTTTTTTCTGGGTGTATTTTTTTCCTCTTTTTCATTAAAAAATAATTCTTTCCAAATCTCCCAAGGAAAATCTACATCTCTGTGGAACAAATAAAACATTCAGGCACAAACTTCCATCACGGACTGTAAAAAAAGAGATGGGTTGGTTTTTGTTATTTTTTTTCTTTTTTTTTTAATTTTTATTTTTGATGGCATTTTTTTCTCCTGCTTTTAGGACACATTGTAGTAGGAAACCAATGGAGGAAAACAAAGGTAATATATATATCTATAAAATCAAAGATATATTAGGCCAAAGTTACAGTGATTATATATAATTAAATTATAGTTTTTAGATGTGTGGGCTTATTTTATTTTTTAAGTAGTCCTGGGAAGAGGTCATATATATAAAAATTTGAATTATATAACAGTATTTACATGTTTATATTTAATAAATATATACAAGTATTTCTGTATCCGTAGAAATAAAAAAGCATCTGTATGGGCCTAAATCTGCAATTCTATGGGGAAAAAGCGTTATTTTTAGGTATGTAGCTTTTAAGAAATAAGAGGAAATGTTATAGCCTGTAACAACACTCTGATGCAGGAAAAAAGGGTCAGGCAACATTAAAAGAATATTTAAAACAACAAAAAAACCAAAACAAAACAAAAAAAAAGCATAGTACCTTGGCTACAGCCTCCAACAACGAGCGTGTGGATGTTACGGGATTTGGGTTTTTTTTTGTTTTCTTTTTAATGATATTACCGCGTCTGATCACACCAATATATGATTTTAATTAAGTGAATGGCGGACGAGATGTCGTGGGGAGCATGCAAGCAGCGATGGCTTCTTCCCATACCACTCTGGCTCCGATGATAAATCAATCCTCGTGCATTTGGGACTTTTTTTTATGGTGGTTTTTTTTTTTTTTTTCGTTAAGTACTTTTGGGGATTTTCCATGCCGTGAAGAGACCGGGAGATGGCGGCTTCAACCCCTGCGAAGGAGAAAAGCGGTGGAAAAGCACAGAATTAGGCATAAAACTTAAATTAGGCATAAACACGGGGAGATGGCGGCTTCAACCCCTGCGAAGGAGAAAAGCGGTGGAAAAGCACAGAATTAGGCATAAAACTACCCACCTTGGGGGTGCGTGTGGTGATGATGAAGGGAGGGGTGGAGGCATGCGGAAAGCTTAATTCAGGGCCAAAACCCTTCATCCGTGAGGGGAACAAATAACATTTTAGAGGTATAACTGGGGAAGTGGGGGAGCTGAGGTGAAGGGAGAAAGCGGAGGCACCGTCATGGCCGAAATAAAATGCGCATTTCTGACCATTTTCACATCCTTTTGCAAAGGCGGCGAGGAGAAAAGGGCAGGCGGGAGGGGGAACAAGAAGAAGGTCAGGTTTCACCCGCAGCGCTTTCGCCCCCCGCCCGGAGGGGATTCCCACAGGATCAGAGCCCTTCGCCGCGCTCTCGCCCGTCCTTCCCCCCGCTCTCCGCCTGCCGCCATTTTGTCGCCTCAGAGCCGCTCCCGCGGCCCCGCCGGGCGGCCATTTTGTGAAGCGAGCGCCTGAGGGGCCGTGAGGGGCAGCCCCGGCCGGCGCCGCCTTTTGTCACCCCAAGCCCTCCTTTTCCTCCTCATTCTGTCTTTTTTTCTTCAGGAGTTTCTCTTTTTCCTCGCGAAACACTTCGTGCTTAACTCCCCGCTTAGAGCCCCATCGCTTCAGAAAACAAACAAACAAACAAAAAACCCCCTACCATATTCAGAGGAAGCAATCCAATAAAGAGATTAAAGCATATTCCCCAGTTTGGCTGTGAGGAAAGGTTTAGCAGCACGGAGAATTAAGCTATATATTATTATATACATATTTATTCTCCATCCTTTTCCACTTCCCCCCCCGGTGATAAATCCCTAAGGTAAATAATCCCCCTTGACAAAGAGGATAACCTCTTCAAAAAATATTTGTGTTTTTATTTCAATAGAATTCCTCACTCACACTGCTTTACTAGATATTCCATCAAAATAAAGATGTAACTTAACCCACTTGACACCAAATCTGGGTGAAAATTGGTAATTTTCAGGAAATAGGGATGCAGGATGCTATAATCACTGATATGATGAAGGAAATCTGGGATATGAAATAGCAAAATGCTGCTTGCAGGTGTGTGCTGTGTGTGTGTTCACAGAAATAGGGTGGGTTGTGCTTTTTATTCTTTATTTTATAAAGAAGTCAGCATAGCACTCGCAGCCTGGTAACGCGCTTGCGCACTCGCCTCATCCCTTTCCCCTCATGCTATCAAAATCAGTGTGTTTTAAAACTACGTTGTGGCAGTGGGTGGTTCAGTTTTGCCAGGAAAATTTGGGATAAATGAGAATATTAGCATACAGCCTTTTTTTTTTTTTTAATATATATTTCACCTGTGCTGCATGACCTGGAGAAATCTTCGCTTGGGCTGTTCATTGTATAATCCCTGCTGGTTTTTGCCTCTCCCAGAATCAGCAGGATCAGACCCCTTTTCATGTAAAAAATACAATTTTTTTTAGGCTGTTTCAAAGGAACGTACAGAAGATAGGTCTGAATGCTCCGTGGGGAAGAACAACACTGCAGGGAGCTGGCTGGGATGTGACTGCTGTTAACCTGGGATCCAAAGGAAAAAAAAAACAACCAGTTTTCCTGCAGCTCTTTCTATCTTATTTCAGAAAATCCATCGCCAGTACCCAACCTTGCTCCCAGCACCTTTTCGAGCCCCTTTATCATCCCAGTTTCCTTGCACCACACTACAAATCTTCCATTTCCAAATAAACCTGCAAAAAGGTTGGTACTTTTTTCCATGAAGCAACACTTTAACCACTGATTTAAAACCACTGTGCATGGCAGCTCCTTCTTCACTTTAAAACCTCTTTTTAAAAACCAGGCTGTCCTTTGAGTCATAAAAAGATAACCTTTAGGCTTTTTTTATGGGACACATGGTTGTATTCCTGGGAGCAAGTTGGCCTTGCAGCAGAGCGAGAGATCGGATGCCTTTGCTGGGAAAGCCCAAGGAAATTTTATCCGCGGGCCGCACCCAGCCTGAAGTGAGGAAATATTTGCATTTGCTGCTCTTTGGAAGGCAGCCAGGTCCTTCCCGCTCTCCTCTGCCTGCCAAGAGGGATTGCAAGAGCTGATTGCAGCAGCCAAGGGAAGGGCTGGAGCCATGCAGAGCGCTGCCATCCTCTCTGCCCTTTGCCACTGCCACAGGGACAAGAGGAGGGACTTGGAGTGGGGATTACACCTGGGTGGTCCAAGGTGGGCCCGGCCCCCCAAAATGTTATTGTTCAAGGCAGGATGTGTGATTGGTTTATTTCTGCAGACCTGGGTGCTTGCAGAAGTGCTCATGACGGGGTGAGGAGCCCAAGGACAGGCTGAGCCACTGCAGATGATCTGGGTTTGCTCGGCAGCGGGACAGGATCCAGCTCCTGCAGGAGCTCCTGCATGAGGCTCAGAATTCCTCGAGCTCCTCCCAAGGGAAAACACGGGGCTGTGCTTTTCAGGCAAAGCAATGCTCCCCACGCCTCAGCTCATAGTGCTTCTCCCTTTATCTGGGAAGAAAATGCCTTAAATCAGCCTTTTTGTCCTCTTACCTGTGTCCATGTATCCCTGTTCCTTGTCACCCTCCACTCCTGAAATACCACATCAAAACTGACCACACCACATCCCTTCACCATGCTGCCAAACTCTCCAGTGGTGCCTTTCCTTTCTCCTTGCTTTCCAGGACCTTCTCCAAGGCTGCCTGTAAATAAAAGCATTTCCCTGCCTGTCTGCAGCCAAAAATTCTGCAGTCCCAGTGCCAACAGCCCATCCTGGAAGGCTCCAAGGGGGAAATACCCAGCTCCTTCCCACCATTCCCCTGTGGAAGGGTAGTGCAACTTGCAATAACACATCCAAAACACTCAGCGTTGCACTTCCATCCTCCCCAAAAACCTTGAGTGGAAAAATATCCATATTACAAAAAACAAGCAGCCCTTTGCCCTCTGAGCCTTCTTTTTTTCTGCTCCTTTTGGCCACTGCCACATCCTTTTACTTTTTTAGCATTATTTTGATGCCAGATTTTCCTCACAGTGCAAGAAGCTTTGGAAAGTGAGAGCTGACTTGGAGCACAGGAATTCCTTGGCATGGAACAAGGAGTTCCCACCCAACTGGACCCAAAGCCACCAACTTACGTGACTGGGACAGACCACAACTTATTTATAAATACCTTTAAAGCAAGTTGTGACCTGATTGATGGCCCAGAGATGCTCATTAACAAACACTGAGTAATCAGGTTTGTAGACAGGGAAGAGTCACCAGGAAATAGCTATTGATGTGATTAATTAACCATCATTAACCCCTTCACTCATAAACACAGCACACGCTGGAGATGTTGTATGTGATCTAGGAGCTGCTAGTCTGGTGGTTGTTTTCTTTGTTTACAGCTCCCATTTTCCATCAGGAAAGCATTAAACATCATCTCACATGCTCTTGCTATTTTCTGCTATTGATTTGTGGTTTTTTAAACACTTTCAGTTAAAAAGAAAGTTAAAAAGTTTCTCCGCCTGGTTTGCAACGCCCTCGCAAAAAAAACCACTAAGCACTGGCAACATCGGTTGTGCAGATGTTGGGCACGCAGAGAAATGGTCTAATTTCTGCTGGTTTGAGGCCTGGACTGAGAGGAGATCAAAAAGCTTCCACAGGCAGAGCGCTATAATCTCGGATAATATGCAGAAAGCGGGCTGTCCGTCTTTCCCAGTCCCGTTTTAGTTGAAGCTTTGCTGCCTGATGGAGGAATCTGTGCTCCGGCTGCCCTCTGCCGGCTCCGGGATAGATAGTCAGCAAAAAACAAACCCAAACCACACCAAAACTCCTTTCATCAACTCCATGAAACATCGCCAGATCCCATATACACCCCAAAAAACAACACTCGGCTCTTCTCCGGGTGACAGCAGCATCTGCCACATTGCTACACTCTAAAATCAACTTTTATGGACCTGAGTTGTGGATCAACTCTCACCACGTCTAGAAAATCTAAAACCGGCTTTTTTCCCTTATTTTTAAACTTGAAGTTGATAGGTTTGGAATGCAGGGTGGATGAAAGGAATGAGAATTTTTAAACTCGGGGTTTTATTTTACTGAGATTAACTAAATCAGTGCCCGCTCTCCACAGAGAGAAACATTTCAGTGAAACCCCAAGGAAGCTCAAGAAGAAACACCACCCAAGAAAACCAAACTGGCCTTTGGAAAAAGGAGTTTAGAAAAAGAAATGAGGAATAAAACCTCCACTCCTCATTGCTGCTCTTTCAGGGCATTTTATATTCATTATGAGCACAGAGCTGTGCTGGGACATATCCACAATTTTTCACCCCCCAGCCCGCCAGGTCAGGGTCCTGGGGACATTTTGGTGATGAAAACCCAGTTCTGCAGTAATTTGGGGGTGCAGCAGGCACCCAGGGTCAGCCATGGGGCGCATCCCACTGTGGGCACCCCCTTTTTGTTGCCTGGCACTGGAAGGGTTGATGAGGTGCAGGGTCTCAGCAGGACGACTCGTTGCGCCAGTGGATGTGGCAGGACTTGCAGAGGAGGTGATTGTCCAGAGGGTAGCACCCGTTCTCTGTCAGCTCTGGCGACAGGGGCATCCTGCAGATCTGGGGGCAAGAGGGGAAAAGGAAGCCACCTTTTAGGGGTTTTACATCCTATTTTCCCTGCAAAACCCACCAGCACTCCGAAAAAGTGACAAACTACATCAAAAGCACGCAAAGCTGAAGTTCTCCAAACACATCATCATCTCACCACCTCCCAATTTATTTATTTTCCCCATCCCCATTATTTGTAAGATAAACTGGGGTCTAAAAACCAGCAGTGGGTGCTGCCATCCTTGTGTCCATGCTCAGCCAAGGCTCAGTGCCACCCCCTCGGCTCTGGGGGCCCCCCAGCCCCCAGGGCTGTACCTCGCAGCGGTAGCAGCTCTCATGGAAGCTGCGTCCCAGGCACTCGATCTTGTAGGTGTCCTCGTCCTCACGGGGGACAATGGGGCGCTCGCAGGCACTGCACACCGCAGCGTATTTCCTGATGGAAACCAACGGGGGCAGCGTGAGCCCCGCGGGGTGACGGGGATGAACCAAACCCAGCTCCCCGCGTGGGACACCCTTCCCGTGGCCAACCTGTAGTAGTCGGGCACGCAGTACACGTCACCCTGCTCGTCCACGGCGAAGCTCTCCGTGCCAATGGCCCGGCCGCAGGCAGCGCAGGAGAAGCAGCTGGGGTGGTAGCCCTTGCCCAGAGCACGGACAATGTGCTCTGTGATCAGCCCCTGGCACTTGGCACATTTCTCCAGCGTGGCCTGGAATTTAGGGAACGTGCGCCATGAGACACAGCCCGCGCCCCAAGGGATGTTCTGAGGGTGCCGGTTTTCCCCGAAGGAGGACGGGTACCTGGAAGCAGGTGTCACACGTGGGGCACCCGTCTCTCTGGAAGAAGCGCTGCCCAGCCAGGAGTCGGCGGCACGTGCGGCAGGTGAAGCAGGCAGGGTGGTACTGCTTCCGCATCGCCTCCACCGTCGGCTCCCGGGGCCCCAGCGCTTTGTGGCAGAAGGCACAGATGTCTGCAAGAAGAGGGAGAGCGGCTGGGAGCTGTGTGCCTCAGTTTCCCTAAGTGGGGATGAGCCCATGCACAGCTGGGTCACCCTTACCTCTGGAGCTGTCCCTCTCCGGGTCACCATTCACATCCTGCCACTGCCGCTTGCCTGCTTGCTCCTGGGAAAATGCGGGTGGCTTCAATTCAGCAGGGAAGGTGGAAGGGGCCTGGCAAATGGGGAAGGGCAAAGCCATGTTAGTTATACCCCACAGGTGGGGAAACTGAGGCACTGGGGGGACTGCACTCTGTTATCCTCACCTGGAGAGTGGAAGGTGCTGCAAGGTCCAGTTGCTGCAGTGCCAGACCCAGGGGCTCCACGGACAAGGGCTGGGGCACTTCAGAGAGGGGCAGGACTGGTGGGGATGCAGGTACAGGGGCCACCGGGTGGGTTTCTGCAGCAACAGACAGATGTGGGGGGTTCAGGGGATCAATAATGTCCAGTAACATCCCATCACAATAACGTCCTGTCACAATAACACCCCAACAGCTTTGCAGCAGCGCTCGCTGACCTGCCCCAAAAGCAAACGCCACTGAAGCAGGAGGGGACAAACAGCACCGATAAGCACCCAGCAATGGAGAGCAAACACAGCCCGTCCCCAGGAGCCGGATCCATGCCAGGATGTTTGCAGGGATTGGGGGAATATCCCCCTAAAAAATACCCCCACATCCCCTTCCTCACGCGCATCCTTTAGCAAAGCATCTCCACAGCCTCCACACCGCTCCAGCCCCCATGGACACCCCTCACCTCCGTTGGGCAATGTGGGGGGTGACAGCAGGATCTGGGGCTGTTGGGTGCCAGGGACCTCGGCACCACCTGGCTGCGGCTCCCGTTGGGTTTTCTCCTTGGTGGCCACGTCCCTCCGTGGTGGCACGAGGGTGATGAAGATGGATGAAGCAATTCTTTTCTCTGCTTTCCCTGGCAACATCGCTGAAGCCGTGGAAGGGCCAGATCAGGGGTTGATTCTGGGGAAAATAAAAAAGAAAGAGAGTAAAACTTTCAGGCACACTAGCAGCTCCTTCAGCCGTGCTGCCCTTCAGCATCAACCTGCCTCCCTCCTCCTGGAAAGGGAGAAGGAACGAGCGTCCTGTCCCACGTCACAGCAATAAATGGTCTCATGCCTGGGAGGACACAGGGTACAGAGTCCTGGCGAGGCAGCAGCTGATAGCTCCCATTTGCACACCTCTGTGGCCAAATCCCACCTTCTCATAAGCATTTGCATCCCCTGTATTTCCTCTTATTGCTCCCACCCACCTGGGATTAAACTCCCTATGGGCAGCAGGAAGTACGTACCTTTCCTTTGAAAAAACAGCTATAGGATTTTGCTTTTGCAACCCCTTTTTTGAAATCTTTCTACATCCCCACTCCCTCCTTCCTTACCCCCAATTCCCTGCTAATCACTTCCAGCTCTGCACATACCCCCTTTTATTTTCCAGGTGGGAAAAGTGAGGTGTGGTGCTGTGAATCACCACGTCCCCAACACTGACACGTCCTCCGAGCAGCACCCGGCAGCACAGGCAGGATGCACCCGACCCCTAGAAACCCTGCTCAGGAAGGAAAAGGGCTGTTTATCCAACTTCCCAAGGGGAAAAGCAGCTGGGGCGAAGCTTCCCCTTCCCAAATGGAATAAACTGGGGGGGAGAACTCTGAGGCTTTAGTCAGGGTGCTGTGTTGGTGAGGCAGAATTCATCCCTGAGGTGAATCAGCAGCTTGAAAAATACCTGTGTGATGAGTTCCTGGTCTCATGCAGCTCTGCTCCCCCAAAATCCCACTCACAGGGGTCAGCACATTCTTTGAGGGGCAGACAGACTCCCCGAGGTGGGCGAAAAGCTTCGAGATATTCCTGCCGATGACTTCAGCCTCTGACTCAAGCAGGGAAGGGATTAAAGAGGAAAAAGAACCCGGAGCACTTCGCTCCCTCTTTCCCTCCCTCCCCGCCGGCTACCGGCGCTACCGGCCTTCGCCCAGCTCCTCACCCGCCGCAGCCGCCGCTTTCCTCCTGCCCAGCAGAGCTGCGGAAAACTGGGGGAAAAAGAAAAGATCGTAAAAAAAAAAGAAGAAAGAAAAGAAAAAAGCAACCTAAAAAAATAAAAAAAAAAAAAGAACCCGGAGCACTTCGCTCCCTCTTTCCCTCCCTCCCCGCCGGCTACCGGCGCTACCGGCCTTCGCCCGGCTCCTCACCCGCCGCAGCCGCCGCTTTCCTCCTGCCCAGCAGAGCTGCGGAAAACTGGGGGAAAAAGAAAAGATCGTAAAAAAAAAAGAAGAAAGAAAAGAAAAAAGCAGCCTAAAAAAAGAAAAAAAATTCTCCGGGGTTAATGGGAACCATGTGCTCATCGCATTCCTCTTTGTGCCGGGGCTGACGGGATCCCGGCAGCCCCGGGGCGGCACCCCCGAGATCCCCCCGGCCCGGGGCCATCGGGGGGTGCATTAATGGGGGTCCCCCCTCCCCATGCAGCTCCATCCTAGTTTGGGGTGGCCAAAGCCACACTGGAAAGGAACCCCCCTGGTTTCCCTGAAATCTCCTGGGAATGGAAGCTCAGGTGGGATTTGAGGGGATAGGGCCACTTATGGGGCATCCCCACAACCCCCAAAACTGGGATGGGACACAGCCCTCTAGAGCTGCACCTCAACTCTGTCCCCTGCCCCAGGGACCTCTCAGAGGGTGCTCCGAGGACGCCCAAGGAAAAAGGGATGGGATGGGGGTACACAACTCTTGGTGTCCTATCTTCCCCCACCCCGAGTGGTCCCGCTGTCCTCTTGTCCCTCACCTGGGGGGTGGCCTTGCAGCCCCCGGCATCCCCTGTGTCCCGCCCTGCAGCCCCCCACCTCCCTGTCCCCTACCTGGCAGTGCCCCGTCCCCTATGGAGCAGTGGCCCCACCGTGTCCCCCTGCCTGGGGACCCCCATTCCCTCCCAGGGAGAGTCCCCGGTCCCCTCCTTGGGGGTGGCTCTTGGTCCCCTTGTCTCATCCCGGGGTGACTGCGGTCCTTATCCCATCACGTGGGGGGTCCCGTGTCCCATATTGGGGTGTCCCCTGTCCCCTCCTGGGGGGATGTCCCAGTCCCACACCTGGGGTGGTCCCTACCTGAGGGTGGCCCGTGTTCCCTACCTGGGGCGATCGTACCTTGCGGGCGAGGTTCTTTGCCGGGGAGGAGGGGTGTCGCCTGCCCGGAGGTGGCCCTGCAGCCCCACGGGGGGTGACCCTGTCCCCGTCCCTGTCCCCTACCTGGGGAGCCGGTGCGGGTCCCTCCGTGCGCTCCGCGGGCGCGGCGGGGGCAGCGGGAAGGCAGAGCCGCCCGGCATCACCGCCCCTTCCTCCCTCCTCCTCCTCCTCTTCCACCTCTCTTCCTCCTCCCCCCTGCCTGCCCCACAGCCCCGGGCGGAGGAAGAGGGGGGCACGTGTCCTTAGGGTGCCCCATTCACCCCCGGCTGCCCCGCGCTCCCCAAAGTGCTCCATGGGTGCCCCCTCTACCCAGGGTGACCCATGGCCCCGTGAGTGCCCTTTATGCTCTGGGATTGCCCCCTCCCAGGTTTTCCCATGGACCCCCACACACCCTCAGGGCACCCAACCCCAAGGGGTGCCCCGTGAGCCCCCCATACACCCCGGGGTGCCTGTGTACCCCAATACAGCTGTACCCAATATAGCTCCATATACCCCAGGATAACCTCTATCCTCCAATCAGCCCCAGTTACCCCCACACAGCTCCATCCCCAAAATGCTCCATGTTTCTTCTGTGCCCCCACCAGGACACCCATGTGCCCCTCTAGAGCCCCAGCATGCCCCATAAATCCCTACATAAATCCCCCCCAGACCCCCTCCTGCTCCCTCTACCCCTGCACTGGGGGTCCATGCCCAGGCAGCCAGAACCCCCCTCCCCACACTGCACCCCACCTTCACAGGGCCTGGTGTCCCCTACCACAGCACAGCGGGCTGCAGGTGGGGGAAACTGAGGCACAGGGCCACCTCCCAGCCAGAGGGTCACCCCACTCTGTGCCTCAGTTTCCCTTCCCAAGGAGGAACTCTACCCATTTCCCTCAAAAAGCTGCACAGCCAATATCCCAAGTGCCTTCTCAGCACAATGGGACCCCAGCTTGCTCTGCCCATAGATTTTGCTGATAAAAAGCCTTTATTTTCCGAGATTTATAACCCCCTGGAGGCCCCTGACAGTGTGGCCCAGCTGCCAGCAACGATGGGACATCCATCAGCATCCCACAGTCCCACTGGGACCAGAGAACAAACCCCAGCAGTGCTGCAACCTCACGGGGTCCCCCCAAAACCAGAGGCAACGCGAGCCCTCCCCGACCTCCTCCATCCCACAGGATGGGGTTGGACGCCTTCCAGGAGCCCTTTTTCCATGGTCCCCATGGGGGATGTGTGCTGGGGGACTCTGGGGTGCCCAGCGAGGCCACCCTGAGTTTCTGCTGTCGGGTTCCACCCCGCGGCTCATCGGGACGTCTCCCCCGATCCGGATCCCGACACAGTGGCCGCGCCGGGCTGCTGGGCAGAATCCTGTGCGGGATGGAAGAGAGGAGCCCAAAAGCTTCTCACCACAGCCCCGGGGCTGCCGCCAGCCCCGACCCCCGTGGCACGGGGTGTCCCCCTCTCACCTGCCTGCAGCAGGACTCCAGCAGCACCCCGGAGCGCAGCAGGCACCAGAGCTCCCCCAGCAGCGACACGAAGACGTGCAGGATGTCCGTCCATCGGCCCACGGTGAGGAGGAGGATGAAGAGGCCGCCCATCCGCACCACGATGGTCCGGAACGCCGGCCCCCTGCCCGTGCTGTGCCGGGACTCCTCTGCGAGGACACGGCATTGCAGAGCCACCGCGGGGACACCAAGCATGGGGGGGCTTCACGTACAGCCCGTGTAGCCCCTATACACCCCCAGTACATCCCATGTACCCCCTGTACAGTCCCAGGGTGCCCCAGGTACCCCCAGGACGTCCTATGTACTCTCTGTACACCCCAGTACCCTCTGTGTACACCCAGGATATATACACACATCCCCTACAGACACCCAGGACACCCCACATACTCCTGTACACCCTCAGAATGTACCATATATACTCCCCACAGACCCCCAGAATGTACCATATACTTCCCACAGACCCCCAGGACCCCCCACATACCCCTGTACACCTCCAGAATGTACCATATACTCCCTACAGACCCCCAGGACACCCCACATACCCCTGACACCCCCAGAATGTACCATATACTCCCCACAGACCCCCAGAATGTACCATATATCCCCTACAGACCTCCAGAACACTACACATACCCCTCTACACCCCCAGAATGTACCATATACTTCCCACAGACCCCCAGGACCCCCCACATACCCCTGTACACCTCCAGAATGTACCATATACTCCCTACAGACCCCCAGGACACCCCACATACCCCGTACACCCCCAGAATGTACCATATACTCCCCACAGACCCCCAGAATGTACCATATATCCCCTACAGACCTCCAGAACACTACACATACCCCTCTACACCCCCAGAATGTACCATATATACCATCCATACAGCCTCAGGACCCCCTGCATATCCCAAATACTCTGCATACACCCCCAGGACCCCCCACATCTGCCTCTATACACCCCCAGAATGTACCACATACTGTCTACAGCCCCCCAGGACCCTCCACACAGCCCTGTACACCCCCAGCCTGTACTATACATATCACCTCTACAGCCTGAGGACCCCCTGCACATCCCATATACCCTGCATACACCCCCAGGACCCCCCCATCTGCCCCTATACAGCCTCAGGTGGCCCCCAGTGCCCCACACACCCCGAGTACATCCCAGACGCCCCTCAGAGCCCCCCGTGCCGGGCCAGCGCCACCCACCCTGCATGTAGACCACCAGCAGGGTGTAGCAGATGCCCAGCGGGGTCCAGAAGCGCACGGCCTCGCCCGTGGAGAGGAAGTCGCGGTTGATGAGCTGCACGGCGGCCAGGTCGGCCACGGCGAAGGCGAGGCCCAGGGCGCTGCGCAGCAGGCGCGGGATGCCGTGCCCCGCGGCCAGCAGCAGGATGCAGACGCCGCAGTAGCGCTGCCGGCTGTGCAGCTCGTACAGGGCACAGACGTGCCGGGCCAGGCGCCGGGCGTGCAGCGCCAGCAGCCCCGCCAGCCCCGCCGCCAGCGCCAGGTTGCAGCTGCGGTGCGGAGCCCCCTCCAGCAGGAAGGTGAGGCCGCAGGACATCCCGCAGCCCAGCGAGTACTGGCACAGCAGGTAGAGCTGGCTGCTGTGCGCGCCCTGCAAAGCAGCGGGGGGGGCATGGAATCATGGAATCGGCGAGGCTGGAAAAGGCCTCCAAGATAACGAGCCCAACTGTTCCCCTAGCACTGCTGAGTTCACCTCTAATCATGTCCCCAAGTGCCTCATGCAAACACTTGTTGAATCCTTCCTGGGACCATGACTCCAGCACTGCCCTTGGTAGCCTGTGCCAGTGCCCGAGCACCCTTCCCACAAAGGATTTTTCCCAATATCCAATCTAAACCCTTCCTGGCCCAGCCTGAGGCCGTTCCCTCTCCTCCTGTCCCTGTTCCCTGGAGCACAGCCTGACACCCCCGGGCTGTCCCCTCCTGGCAGGAGCTGTGCAGAGCCAGAAGGGCTCCCCTCAGCCTCCTTTTCTCCAGGCTGAGCCCCTTTCCAGCTGCCTCAGCCCCTCCTGGTGCTCCAGCCCCTTTCCCACCACTGTTTCCATCTCTGGACACACTCCAGCCACAGAGGTCCCAGAACTGTCCCAAAAATTGAGGTGTCCCAGCAGTGCCAGCACAGGGGACAGGCACTGCCCTGTGCCCACTTAGCCTCTTGCCCACCTGGGGACACCTGGCTGAGGTGCAGGGGGACCCATGGCCCCCTCCACCCACAGCTCCTCCACTGGGTGCTGAGCAAACCCCCAGTTTCCCAGCTCCATCCGCACCATTCCCCACGGTGCCTCAGTTTCCCCCATGCTGTCTCACCTTGCCAAGGGAGAGGGTGGTGGAGACGGCGCGCAGGGAGAACTCCAGCACCACCAGCGCGGCCACGCGGGAGCCCACCAGGGCCAGGACGGCGGTCAGCACCAGCACGTGCAGCGGCTCCAGCAGCGGCCGCCGCGCCGCCATCGCCTCCTTCTCCGCCTGCCTCTCGGGGTTGCTGGGGACAGCAGGGGGGATGTCACCCAAAACGGGGTGACAAGCCTTAGTGACATCCCCCTCTGTGCTGTACAGCCGAGGCTGCAGCCCCTGCCCCGTGCACCTCGGTGCCAAGAGCCACGGCCCAACAGCAGATCCCAAAATCCCCAAAAACAGCCTTCCCCCCCAGAGGGGACAAAGGGCTGGCGCTTACTTCGCACACTGGATGTAGAGATAAACCTTCAGGAGGCTGCAGAGCACCGAGACGGCGCAGGCACCCACCAGCCCTGTGGGGAAAGGCAGCAGTGGGTCACTGGCATCCCCTGGGCTGTCCCCACACCACCCTCGGGATCTCACCTTGCAGCAGCGCATCCAGCAGTGCCCAGCCCCACGCCAGCCCGGGCAACTCCGGGAGCCAGGACCCCAGGGAAAACATTTCGATAGAGAGGAGCCACAGTGTAGCCAGGCCCCGGCTCCAAGGTCCGCGGGGCGGAGGCGGGGAGTGGCCCCCCCGGCTAGTAAATCATTATTGGGGCAAGCCGGGGCAGCTGGAGCCCCGGCCAGGCAAGATGAACTCCAGCTGCCCCTTGGAGGTGAAAATTAGGAGAAGAGGGATGTGACGCACATGGAGGGGCTCAGGCACCACCAGAACCTTTAACCTCCCCCCACGCCGGCATTGCCATTCTCCTCTCCACCCTGAGGCATCGCAGCATTTCAGGTCCTGCCCCGCCATCTGCACCACCCCAAAGACCCCAAGACAACACAAAAAATAGAAAAACCTCTTTATTAACATCGGTGGTGGTGGCAGGAGTCTGTCCTGCAGCCCTGGGGGCTGCTAGTGCTGAACCATGTTCCTGAGCTTGTCCCAGAAGAAGAGGCTGAGGACGGTGTGGGGGCCGAGGCGGAGGTAGACGGCGCCGATGCCCTTGTACAAGCCCAGCAGCCCCTCTTTGCTGGAGATTTGCAGGATACAATCCAAAAAACCTCGGTAGAGCTTGCCCTGGGGAGAGAGGAGCCAGCCCTGCACCCCTGCCGGATGGGAAAAGCCGCGCGTCCCCTGAGCCGTATCCGGAACGACCTTACCGTGCCGTCGGCGTCCACCGGCTGGTTGTAGAGACGCGTGCTGATCACGTCAAAAGGTGTCATTGTCACAGCCACAGCCACACCACTCACCATGCCCCCCGCCAGCACGGCCGCCCAGCTGCCCTTCCTGAACCACTGCGGGAAGCGCCGGCATCAGCTCTTCCCAACAATGCCGGGGAGCACGGGGGCCGGAGGCGGCCGGGTCCGGCACGCGTCCCGCTCACCTGGCGCTTGCAGACCCAGTCCTTGGCGGAGGCGAAGGTGGCGAGCTGCACGGCCGAGCCCACGGCCACGCGGGGCACGGCGCCCGTCACCCCCCGCCACAGCCCCGGCACCCCGTGCTGCTGGTAGATGCTCTTGAAAGCGGCGGAGATGCTCTGGGGAAGAGAGGAAATTGGGGAAAAATGGGAAAAATAGGAACGGTGCATCCCATCTGGCCAAAACTTCCCACCCTGGCAAAATATCTCATCCCTGCTGGACTTTGGTGACATGAAGCCACTATGGGCTTTGGAGAGATCCCGGGGGTCTGGATTCTCTGGATTCGGTATTGCAATCCCACGTGCCTGTCACACCCCCTCTGTTCTCGCACTGTTATTTTTAGCATCATTACGGGGCCAAGCAGGCAAACAACAGCTTTAAATTCCTGCTGACCAAAATAGCATGGTCCCCGCTGGGGCCCGGAGCGTGCACAGACAAGGTGCCACCAAACCCTCTGTGTCCCCCCAGCCCAACCTTGTCCCTGCTCACCTCATGGTTGTGCTGGTGGCCCACGGCCATGGCTGACAGTGTCTGGGCTTGGAGGTGGGTCTTGACCTTGGGGGGACAATGCCAGGTGACAAAACCCTCCAATGCCCCGCTGGGACCAGCAAGGGTCCCCCCATCTTCTCGGCAGATTTTGAGGGGAAGTTTCAGCCCCTCCGACAGACGTGGGGGACACAGCTGAGTGGCCAAGTGGTAACTCCAGACTTTGAATCCCGTTCCTTTTACCCCTCTCTCCCCGGGCAAAGAGACCCTGCAAACACTCACTGCTGAAGCTCTGCAACCCCAAAAAAACGGGGAAACCCTCTAAAATGGGAAGGGGGGCAAACCCCCGCAATTTCTTTTGGGGTAGTGTCCTTATGGGGGAGTTCTCTGTTGGTTTCCTGAGGGGGGGTTGGGGGAGAAAGCAGGGGGAGAGCATGCACAGCACAGCCCCACTTTTGTTTTGGGGAGGGGGGGGCAGGGGAAGAGAGAATGCACCAAGCCAGTGTTTATAGGATGCAGCCAAGATGCCGAACCTTTTGGGGGGGTCCCCAAAACACCCCCCTCCACACCCCACGGCCTTTGGAGCGGAGCAGCACTCACCAGGTACGCGGGGCTGCCCACGATGGCTCCCACCGCCCCGGCCACGGCCCCGGCGGCCACGGTCCCGCCGGGATACCCGGTCCAGCCGGCGTCCTCGGCGTGGGAATAGCAGTAGAAGCGGACGCCGTTCATGAGCCCCTGGTAGAGCAGCCCGGCCGCCAGTCCCTTCTGCAGCCCCCGCAGCCCGTCCGCCCGGCACACGGCCACGGCCGCCCGCAGCACCCCGCGGTAGGGCCGCGGGTACGTGCCCGGGGGCTGCAGCTCGCCCTGCAGCTGCAGCCGCGTCTTCACCACCTCCAGCGGGTTGGTGAGGAAGCAGGCCAAGCACCCGGCCGTGGCCCCCAGCACCAGGTCGGTGGCCGGGGGCACCCCCCCGGCCGGGGGGCTGTTTTGGGGGGGGTACTGGAATTCCTGCAGCGAGTCGGGAGGGCGGGGGGCGAGGGTCCCCGCCGCCATCCGGCACCTGCCCGCGGGGGTGGCCCCAGGCTCCACCTCCCCGAACAACCGCAGGGAAAAAAAAATAAATCCGGGGGGAGCGAGAGCGAGCGAGCGCCGCCTCCTGCAAACCAACCCCCCCCAATTCCAGCCCCCAATTTGGGGAAGGGATGTGGGGCAAAGGTCGGGGCTGGGGGTGCGGGCCGGGCCCCCCCGACACCGGCGCGCCCCCGGCAGCCGCGGCCAGCCGGGCCCGGTCTCACGTGATGGTGCTGCCCCGGCGCAAACAGGGAAAAGCAGGCAAAAAAAGGGCGGGTAGCACGGAACAGAAACGGAGGGAGAGGAATTTTGGGGAGCGCACGCAGTCACCCCCCCGCCCCAGCCAGCATGGGGAGGAGGATGAGGACGGGAAAACTCGCTGCGCTTGTGGCCGCGATGCGGGGGGACTTGCAGAGGGTCTCGCCCGCCTGTCCCGGTGCTTTGAAATTGGAGCTTCCCGCGGAATAATGCTGCAGGGGGTGGGGATGTCGGTGTCCAGCCCTCCTAGGTCGATTCCTAATTTTAGGGCTGCACAGGGACCCCCATGGCCGAGGCACTGCGGTGGTTACTGAGGGGCAGGACATGTGAACCCCCCAAATCCCAGACTCCTCCCCTGCCAGTGGCTGTCCCAGTGTCCCCCAACACTTTCGTTTCGATGTCAGAAGTCAAGGAGGGGACAGTGGGTGATGCTGGGGGCTGGCCCCACGGCTGTTTCTTTCTTTTCTAGACTGGACTAGATCTCCTGGATCCAGGGGACTGGGAACATCGCCTGCATCCAGGGATAAGGAAGGACAAAGCATGAAGATCTGTGTGCTCATGGGTAACTCCCAGCTGAAGCCACAAACGTGTCCCACTGCAGGGTTAACGCTGTTGAGGAGCTCGAGGTGCATGTCCTCCCCTCTTTTCATCCAAATACCCCCTTCTCCCTGCCCAGAGCCGTCCCACCGGCTCCAAAGTGACTGCAGGAGGCAGGAGCAGCAGCAGCCCCAGTGGCAGAACCTGGCGTGGGGCCAAGGCTGAGTTACCAAGGTCTGTTTATTTGGGGAGGGGGGAAAGGAAGCAAATGTATGTACATATACATTCAGTCACGTATGTTTCCTCCCAGAAAAAGGCCCCGTGAACTTATATTACATGAGAAGGTCTCCAGGTTATTATTATTGTTATTAGTATTATTTAAAAGCTGGGGTTGTGCCCCAAGGTGCTCGTTGTGGAGCGCAAGTGGCGATGGGTCCTCGCTGGCCTCAGATGCAGTGAGCTGAGGAGATGGGGACATGTTTGGTGGCAGCCACATGACAATGTCCCTCAGGACACCTGAAGAACGTGGGACTCCATCTTTTCTCCCTGAATGCACAGGGTCAGCATTAAAACCACAAACCGGCTGCTGAGATCTAAAACCATGTTTAAGCCAAATATTTGGCCTTGTTCCTTCTTCCTTAGCCTCAAATCTCCTGGACAGGCTGAGAGTGGTTCAGTGGAGTCCGGAGGCCCCGGGCGAGCTCTCCCGGAGGAGGAGGAGGAGGTGGAGCGGTGCCGACTCCTCCTCCCAACACAGCGGTGATTGTATGAGCAACAAAACATGCACGGTAGCGACTGAGTGTTCCCGCCTCGCCCCGACCCTGTTCGAAAATGAACAAGTCCTCAGTCCTGCTCCCCACCAGAACGGGGATGCTTGTCCCAGCCCACCCTGCTCCCACCCACTCCCTCACCACTACTGGGACATTATTCTGTAAAAGGCAAATTATTTGCCCCGTGGCAGCTGGACAAGGAGGAAGGTGCAGGTGGTGAAGCATCTGGCTGCTCCCCAAACCACGCTGGATGTTCCTGGCTTGGTGGAGAGCGCGGGGTCCACACTGCAGGCACGGCCCTGGTGGGGACCAAGCGATGGCAGGAGGGTTTGGGGTGCCAGCTGCCCAGATACAGGCCCTGATCCCCACAAATGGGCCCCCGTGAGCTGTCCTCCCCTGGGCAGGGCTAGCACCAGGGGTCCCGCTCGGCCCGTCCCCGGCAGAGGCTGTCGCTGCGCTGCCAGGCGCTGTCGATGAGGCTCTGGGCATCCTCACATTTCTTCTTCACAGCAGCATCCAGAATGGCCTTGTGCTGGAGATCGACCTGAAACATGGGTGTGGGGTGGCAGGAGGGGAACAGACAACAGTCACTTCTTCCTCTCGCTGTAAAACCAACTCAAACCCACATGGGCAAGCCACCTGTGTCATGGAAATGGTGACAGCGGGGCTGACCCACATTCCTTCCACTCCCCCTGCCAGCACTGGGTGCTCATGGCTTGTCTTGCCAGCCTCTGAATCCCACATCCTGTGATTATATGGAGCCAGAGGAGCTCCCTGGCTCTCCTGCCCTTTGTGGGAAATCTGGGTTCACCCCCCAGGGACAAACTCATTCCTCTGCCCGCCCTCACTCGATGAGGGCGTGAGGCAGCCCCACATGCTCACCTGGTAGATGTTCCTCCATGCGACGTTCAGTGCTGACAGGAACCTCTCCAGTTCCGTAGTGCAACTAAAATAAAGGACCCAGGGGGGCAGGAACTCCTTGCTGTCCTGAGCAAACTCCTAAACACCGAGAGAGAGGCCAGGTGTCAGCACTGGGTGCTCGCCCAGCCCCGGGCCAGCGGGTCCCAGAGCCCTGCCCTCACCAGGATGCAGTACTCCTTGCCAGCCTCCGTGGAGACAGCGGTGATGTCGGTCAGCTCCGCAGTGCCCAGCGAGCGGAAGAAGCTGGTCTGGCAGTCCTCGTGGCACGTGAAAGCCTTGTCATCTGTCAGCACCAGGCAGCAGGGAACGCACGGCGTTGGGGCAACACCCTGGGGGATCACCTGCGTGGGGTGGGGAAGGGGGGTAAAACCTGGCATGATGGAGCCCCATCTCCATGGGGTGCCCCATGGGGAAACCCTCCTGGCTCAGGATAAAGCTGCCTGCTCCATCCTGCCAGACATTCCTGCTCCCTTCGGCACCAAAGGGGCTCTGGGCAAAGGAGGGGGCCGAAGCACCCACGCTCAGCGCCTGTCCCCAGCTCACCCCTTTGGAGACAGCCTGGCAGAAGTACTGCATCCAGTCTGCCATGTCCTCCTCGTTGTCAGCACTCAGCTCCAGGGAGGGCCGGTCCGTCAGGATCACCTGGAAGGAGTGGGGCCGGTCGGTGGTGTTGGAACGCCGGCATCCCCCACACTGCTCGCCGCTGGGAGAGAGGGGGAGGATGGAGATGAGCGTGATGGATGGGCCTGCACGAGCCTGAGAACAGCCTCTGACTGCCCTCCCTGGGCAGCACCTCACCCCTGCTCCCAACAAACACTCATTCCCTATCCATGACATCCCCTGGGATTGCTCCAGGGACCATCTCCAGGCTCTTCACATTGCAGGAGAGCTGGAGTTGATCACAGTGGGTCTCCCAGCAGGACTCTTGGAGGGATCCATCACCCTTCAGAGGCCAAGGCCCCTTCCAAGGAAGGAAATGAGCCCATTTCCAGTGGCATGCACTGGAGCCAAAACAAACTGGCACCTGCCCCCAGGCAGGAGCAGCCGGGATTCCTGCAGCACGGACCAGGCCATGATCCAGCCTGGAACCCCTCCTGGACATCCCAAGTAGCTGCTGCTCCCCAGATCCCCATGGAGGCTGGGTGCTGTGTCCTACCAGCCACTCACCCCATGTTGATGGAGAGCAGAGGGGTGACGTCCGTGCGGTCTGGGTACTGGTACAAGATCCCATTGCTGCCGTTTGGGAAGATGAGAGAGGGGGTCACTGGAGTCAGCCCAGCTCTGGAATCCCCTTCCTTTGGTCCCACAGCCACCCCTGCCCTGCCCTCCACCCATGCAGCCCTGGGGGGGGTGGGGTCACATTCCTGCTGCTGGGCACCCATAAACGGTGGCTTGGCCCCTTTAGGTGGCAAGATGAGTCCTCTCCACCTCCCAGGCAGCTCTCGGGCAGCAACTCCTCCCAGCACCTTCTCCCAAGAGCCCTGTCTGACCCCAGCCCTGCCCCACAGCCCCAGTGCCCACCTGAGCACCACGAAGCAGGGCTTCCACTGCTCCTTGCCCAGGTAGGAGGTGCCTGCCTTGTAGTGCAGCACGCCGTCCTTGGTGACGGCGTGCTCCGCAGAGGAGCTGCTGCTGGCGGCTCCCAGCGCCTCATCCATGGGGTCCTCCCAGTGAACGAGGCCGTAGAAACGCACAACCACATTGCAGGCCTGCAGGAACCAGGAGAAGTCAAGGGAGTCTCCTGTGAGCCTTTGTCACCTGCAGAGGTGGTGGTGACATCCAAACTCACCTCACACTTGGACTCCTGTGCCACAAACTTGGCAAGTGCCAATTTCTCCATGGTGGCATCTGTGAGGATACTGGGATAAGGGGGCTCCCGGCACCCTTTGATCATGGCTGACTTCAAGGAGACCAGGAAGAACCTGAGAGGGAGACAGAGATCTCTGACAAGGCTGGGGCAAACAGCCCCTCATCTCCCTCATACACTCTGGGGCCTAAAGGGCTCCCCTGAGCTGTGAGGCTCTGGTCTTCCAGACCAAAGAGTTGCAAAATCAACCTACAGACCAAAGGTGATGGGAGGCTGCAAAGTCTGAACTCCAGAAAGGAGATGTGACACCCAGAGGTGGTCACTCATCCCAGCACAGACCCCAGTATGGCTTGATGGTCACCTCTCTGAACTGCCAGCACATACAGAGACTGGGACATGCCTTGGAGCTCATCCCTATTCATGCCAAGTGACACAAGTGACATGTGGTCTGCATTGCCCAGAGTCCCAAAGCTCAGATTGAGGGATGGAGTAACTCTTGATCCAGGGAAGACACTCTGGTTGTATCCATGCCTGAGGCATTTCCAGCTGTCAGCTGGGTTCAGCAGTGGCATCAAACCAGCCCCCAACCCCCTCATGGGTGTCAGGACTGTCATGAAGGGCTGTCTCTGTAGTCTCCCACTGTCCCCAAGTCCAAGAATCCTGGAGTTCTGTGCTGCAGTTCCCCACTCACTCGGTGAGAGCCACGTCGGCAGTGTCCAGCAGGAACTGCTTCCTCCGGTTGGTGCACACCAGGGTCACTGTCTGCTGATCCAGCCCAACCTGTGCCACACAGCAATGGTTAGGGAAGCAGGCACAGGATGAGGGGCAACACAGCAGGGCTGACTGGGCTTCTGGCCCCAGGGAGAGGGTCAGTGGTCACTCTGCTGCCCATGCAAAGACATGGGCACCCACAGAGGTGGCACTGGAAGGGGCATCACTGCCAGCTCTCCCAGTCTCAAAAGCTCACTGCCCAGAACACTCCCCACGTACACAAGCACACCCTCAGCCCTGGGCAGGTGAGAGCTGCCCCCCAGCCAGGCTCACCGAGATGTAATCCAGCTCGTTGTAGGACACGGCCTCCTCCACCATGTAGGGCTTCTCCGCTGCCCCTGGCACAGACACAGAGAGCCACGTGAGGGGGGCACAGCACCCCCTCTGCAGCAGCAGCAGCAGTGACACCCCTGCAAACCCAGCCATGGCCCAGGCAGCACGGAGCCACGGGACACGTGTCCCAGGGCTCCTGGGGGACAAGTCAATCTGAGCTCCCTGCTGTGACCACGGGACTCAAGGGAACTGGCAGTGAAGGCAATGATGGCCCAATCCATGGACAGGCCGTGGATGGAGCCTCCCTCCCTGCACTGAGCCCAGGGGCTGTCGGGATGAGATACCTTTCCGGATCAGGTACACATAGCAATCTGTCAGCAGGACATAGATCAGCTGCAGGTTCCCTTCCATGTGCCCCGTGCTCATTCGGATCATCTGCAGGGAAAGAAAGGAGCTCTCAGCCCTGGGCTGACGCAGGCACAGAGCTGATCTTTAATTGATGGAGACCCCTTACCCTGAACAACTGCTCCTCGTTCTCCCGAAAGACGTGGATCATCAGCAGGAGGAGATGGTTGTTATCCACCCTGCGGAGAGAGACAGCAGAGGATGGACACGGATGTGAGGCTGGGTGAGTCCAGGAAGGGCAATCCCCTTCCTTGTTGAACACGTCCTTGATTTGGGCACTTGTTAGCTCCCCAAGACCTTCTCTTCCTGACCCTTTGTGCCTCCTCTTCATCCTGGAGAAGGGTGGGCTTTGCCCCCCAAACCGAGGACAAAGGGAAAGGCGGCAACTTGAGCTCAAGATTGTTTTGAAGATGCTCTCCCTGCTGAGCAAACTCATCCTCACCTGAACTCGGAGGGATGGGTCAGCTCCGAGGGGCTGCCCTGCCCTTCCTCCACCCCAGAGTCCTCAGCGCTGCTTGGGGAAGGGCTGGGCTGCTCCTTCTTGGGCTCACAGAGAGCCTGTGCGTCGGTGGTTTCTGTCTGGCTAGTCTGAGGTTCATCACTCGCCCTTTCAGACTCTACTGCCCCAACTGCTTCTCCCTCTTTGCTTTCTTCTTCTTCAGGAGCCTCAGGGCTACCAGAAACATGTGGCGGTTGGCCAGGCCCTGGAGGGTCATGGTGGCCACCACCTGGTGCAGCAGCGTTTGGACTCTCGACGGTAAATCGGTAGAAGTCCATGGGGGCTGAAATCCCCTCGCTAAAGTCGCCAGAGGACGATCCATCCGGGGTCTCCCCTGGCGTGCCGGTCCGAAAGGGCTGCCCGGGGGGCTCCAGGGCGGTGTTCCAGCCCCCGGGGTCCAGCTGCCCGTTGAGCCTGTCCATCACCTTGCTCAGGGGCTGCCCCAGGCTCTCCATGGACGTGTCCTTCATCTCGGGGATGCGCAGGGCCAGCGGGCCGAGGGCAGCGCGCTCCCCGCCCTCCTCGGGCCCGCCCGGGGCAGCGGAGCCCCCGTCCCTCGGCGGCTCCTCCCTGTCCCCCTCCCCGTCCCTCGGCGGCTCCTCCCTGTCGCTGAGCCCGTTGACGCCGCTGTCCCCGCTGGCCTCGGGCGCTGCGAGCGCCGGGTTGTTCACCGCCTCCTCAGGCTTCACCTTCTTCTTCTTGCCTGTCTTCTTCTTCTTGGCTAACCTGTGGGAGAGAAGAGCGTCACCCACTGTGCATGTTTAGACTCTGCAATATGCACAACATTCCTTTGCAATTTTCCCTACTGCAGAGAAATCCTTCTCATCAGGAACACTGCTCAGTGTGCAGCCATGTAGAGCCCCCATCTCTGTGCCAGTTTTCACAAGGCAAGGTATGGGCACTTTGTCCTACCTATCCCAAAAAGAGGTGTCACTGCTGACAAAGCACCCTGGGCTTTCTTTCAGCTGTAAAGGGATCACAAATGGTTGTGGTGGTGAAGTAATGTGGGAGAAATCCCTGGTTGAGATCAAGAAGCTGGGAAGGGAGATTTCTGGATTTCTGAAGGTGGCAATGCCATGTCCCGCCCTGCCAGGAGAGGGAGATGCAGGTTGGAGCACACCAAGATGTGTTGCAGAAGTGTTCTGGCACTCACAGCACCCGAACTGCTGCCAGGTCACCCCTGTTTAGGAAGTGAGCCCAGTGCTCTCCTTCCCTGTGTCTGCCATGTGGGATGATGTGTAAAACCCAGCTCCTCTGCTCCAGCACAGCCCTGCTGGGCGGGTTTGGGGAGTCCCCATTGCTGGGTGTGAGCAGACAGAGCCTTGAGCTCTTTGTCTGGACTGAGGGCTCTGAGGGATCCCTTGGGGATCCCCCCTGCAGCAGTCAAACACCCAAACCCCGGCCAGGAGCTCTGCAGAGGCATCTCCCATGACAGGTTCGGCCACAGCTCACTGACAAACAGGAGGAGGAACAGGACGGGAGACAAGATCCAAGTTCCAGAGCTGCTGCAAAGCTGCCACCAGCTGGAGAGAGCTCCAAATAAACGTTCACGGATTACTCTGAGCCCTGTGACACACACTGGCAGGAAAAGGGGGTGATGTGGAATCAGCCCAAGGGACCCAGCCCAGCCTCGTGGGGCTGAACAAAGGCTGCAGCACAGACACCGTCCTCGCCGGGACAGAAGAGGCGGCGCATCCTCAGCATCTGCCGCTCTCCGAGGCCAGCAGCCGTGTCCCTACCTGATGACCTCCAGCTCCGTGCAGCTCTCGGACTGGTCCGTTCCCTCGGGGGTGGCCTCCGCCTTGTCCCGGGAAGCAGCGTGCACCGGCGTGGTGTCGGTGGAGGACGGCGCCTCGGCCCTGTCCTGGTTGAAGGGGTTGTGGCGCTGCGTGGGGCTCCTGGCCGCGGCCCGGCCGCCGTTGGCCTCCGAGGCCGCGGAGCGCGGGCAGCTGAGCGTGTCCGTCAGGTCCCCGTCTGCAGCACAGGGACAAGAGCGGATCAGCGCCGGGAGCAGCGCCGGCTCGGGCTCCTGCACGCAGCCAGCCCGAGCCAAGCCGTGTGCCAGGGGCTCTGTGTGGGCACCACGCTGCTGGCAGCGCCAGCAGCTCCTGGTGAGGACGGACAGCGAGGCCAGCGTGAGACCTGCACCCCCTCTGCAGTTCAGAGTGCCTGCACACAGCAGCTCAGCCACCAGGAGCCAGCAGCCCCATGCAGAGCAGAGGTGGTGTCTGTGGGGGGAGTCTGAGGGTCCTGGGGCCATTGCTCCTGAGCAAGGTGACAGCGAGCCACCAGGCTGCTGCTTCTCCCCTGCTGTGGGAAGGTGCCTGCTCAGCTGGAAGGGCAGACACAGAGGCAGCCCATGGAGCAGCAATCCTGACAGAGCTGGCTGCTCTCCTCTGCTCACATGAGACACACGTGGGGCTGGAGTGTGCTGGACAGGGGACACAGCATTCAGCAGGCAGCACAGACAGGGCAGAGCACAAACAGCTGGGCCCGTGTTAGTCTTCAGAGGGAAAAAGAGCAGAGGAGCAGGGCTGCAGGAGTCATGCTTGGACTATTATTATCTGTCATCCATCCAAAATCATGGTTACAGAAAAGTTATCCATGCCCTTCTGTTCTCCAGCACCATTCCTGCTCTAGTGGAAGGTGTCCCTGTCCATGACAAGGGACTGGAATGAGATGATCTTTAAGGTCCCTTGCAACCCAAACCATTCCATGATTCTGATTCCTTTCCATAGTCAGCTAAAAAGACCCCTTGGGAAGAGAACCACAGCCCTGGCAGACTGATTTGGGGTGTAGGATTTGAGGAGGAAAATGAAACCTCTTGTAAAACTCTAATCCAGGCAGTTTGTGCTGGATTATTCCAAAATTCCACTTTATTCTCAGTGAAAAAGCTGCTCTGGAGCAGGGAGAGTGTGAGCTCTACCAGGAAAGTCAATCAGGTTTTATATCCTCAAATCCAGAGGGATCTCCCTTTCCCCAGCATCCCTGGGCTTCAGCCTTCATCCAACACTCCCACTGGAGCTGTTGGCTGCATCCTAGGTTTGGAAATGTGGTTTGTACCCTCCATGGACAGGCTAAACCACCTCTGTGACATCCCTGTGCATGGGGTAAGAAAGAAGCTAAGAGGGAGCATGTTAGAGCCCGAGAGCAATCCACATTGGAGCAATCCACATGGAATTCAGGCAGATTTGCCCAAACAGTCCCCAAATATTCAAGTGGTCCCATCAGGCTCCAGCTAATGGAACCACATGAATCCAGCCTTGAGCTGCAAAGGACAGAGTGTGGTGTGTTTCCTCTGGGGCTGAAGCAGAGAGGATGCTGCTCCAGTGCAGGATATGCACAGGGGCTGCATGTGGAAGAAGAATAAATTCCTTTAAGCTGGGCAAGTGCTCTTGGCCATAAAGGCCAGAGGTAGCTGGTAAGTGGGTTTAAAAAGTGGTAAAACTAATAAAAGTAACAAATGTAGTGACCTAAACTGAGCATGGCCATGTGCTGGATATTGTAGCTTGATGGGAGAAGTTTTGACACAGGACAGGATGATCCACGGAAAACAAAACCTCCAAAATTAATCCCTGCAAAATGCCCAAAATTAAAGGCAGCAGAATTAGTTGAGCTGTTTTCCAGGGCTTTCAGGAAGCCAATGATGGTGGATCCATTTTTTAGTCAGCACCCTGTGTGCTTTACCCCAGAGAGGAAATCCATGGCATGAGGGCAGCTGGCACATCCCACATTTTGGGCCTGTACAGAATTCCATCAGGACAGGGCAGTTGGTTGTTAAAGAAACAAACATGGGAACATGCAGCAAGCTCAGGGGCAGCAATGCAGACAGAAAACAAAAATGCTGTAAGAGATGAGCGTGTCCCACCTTCCCAGTCTCTGCTGGGCATGGTCTGCATTGCTGGAAAGACATCTCCAAAATCATAATCTACAAGAATGAGGGATAAAACTCAGGATTAGAAATACAGGTAGTGGGGAGGGAAGTGGGGAGAGTGTGAAGGGGATTTGGGGAGGGAGATGGGAATGGGGAGAAACAAAACAATTGCCCACTGGTATCTGAAACATGGGAAAATAGGGAATGTGGGTGTGAATGGAAACCAGCTGCACTAGTGGTTGTTCCTTCTGGAACAACCAGTGTTGGGAGCTACAAAGGGACCAGGGAAGGGTGAAGGCCCCATTATTCAAGCTCCTGGGAAGCTAAACCAGATAAACAGTGGCACCTAGGGCTTGATCCTCTCTGGGAAACAATTTAATCTCTCTGTGCCTCAGTTTCCCCACTTCACACTTACCTCCCACAGATACTGTGATGTTTGACTCGTGAATGTTTGCAAAGCCAGGGATCTGATTAAAGGGGAAAACTTGTCCTCTGATCCTACAATCCCCAGTTCCACCTACACTCTCAGGGTAGAGACATGCTCCTGTTGAAATGATGAGCAGGGTAATAGCTACAGGGAAAAGTTAAATTCCTCCACACCAGAGGAGCAGCAGCAATTCCTGCACTCCTGGGTCCTGGTCCAGCATTCCTACATCAGCACCAAATCCCTCTGTGCATGGGGAGACTGAGACACAGAGCACAGCCACTGCCTGGACACATGGAATAGGCTGAGATGATGCCAAACCCAAAACCCATCTCCAAAATCCCCTGGATCTCCACTCCAAAGCCCTCTTCTCTTGAGCTTTAAGCAGCCATTCACCAGAAGGCCAGGGACACCCAGTGGTAGGGGCAGGCAGGAGATGTCTCACACAAGCCATGCTCTGCTGATGGATGAGCAGGAATGCAAAACCAGGGGTACAGCACAACAGCTGCTTATGCCAAACCTCTGGGCACAGAGAACCTTCCTCTGTGAGTTTTATTTCTAGGCTCCTCATGCTGTCTCCAACTTCCCCGGGATGTTGGAGATTTGGCACGAGCAAGTCCCTAAAATCAAACCCTTTCCTGAGTGCACACGTGGTGAGCCCAAACCAGTGCTGTGCTTCCAAGTCCTTTGTTAAAACAATTCCAATGCCCATCCCAGGCTGTTCCTTCAGCATCTTTAATACCTGCAGGTTCTGTCTTGCTCATGAAAGGCACCTGGTGACCCTTGTCTTGAGGAAACCCATCTGTGTGTGAGCTCAGGCCCAAATTCTCTGCATCCATCTAACAGTTCATTCCATTCCATCTCTATTCCACAATCCCTTTTGTCCAAACTGACATAAAAACCAGGACATGGCCAATGCATTTTGGATTAGGAACAGCACCAGCAGAGCTGCTGCTTGATGTGAACATGGTGGGTGCAGGACAGGAGCTCCACTCTGGTGCAGCAGACTCATGGTGCAGACACCAAGTATGTGTCTGCCCAGTTCATCAGGAACAACACCCAGCCTCTCTGAAGGGATAAGGGTGTGGTCAGGACAATTTAGCAGGCTGCTCAAGATGTATCAAGAGGACAAACCAACACCTCTGAGACCAGTGGCTGCCTGTCTCCCAGACTGAAGACACAGAGAAGCCTCTGGAAACTACTCCCCTCCAGGGCCAGCACATGTGGCTCTCTGGACTGTGAAACAAACAGTTAAAAACCTCCCCTGCAGTCCTGTGTCCCTGCTGACCTGGAAGCCACATTCAGATACAGGCACGGCCTTCACTCTGTGGGGAGAGTCCTCCAGTTCTTGCTAAAACCCCAGGGACCTGGGGTGCCTGCAGGGAATGTCCTTCTCTCCCAGTCTGAGGCATAGAATCAGCACAGAATGATTTGGGTTGGAAGGGACCTTAAAGTTGACCTAATTCCACCCTCTGCCACGGGCAAGGACACCTTCCACTGTCCCAGGCTGCTGCAAGCCCCATCCAAGCTGGCCTTGGACACTTGCAGGGATCCAGGGGCAGCCACAACTTATCTGGGCAGCCTGTGCCAGGGCCTCACCACCCTCACAGGGATGAATTTCTTCCTAATACCTAATCTAAATTTCCCATCTTTTTGTTTAAAACTCTTAGTTTAAACCCATTCCCCCTCGTCCTGTCTCCCAAGCATGTAAGACAGGAGAGACTCCCAGCCTGGCTGCTGGTCCTCCTGCTTTGGTCTCTTCCAGTCTAAAATCTGCTGCCTTATCTGAAGGGGATGTGGGAAGAAAACCCCCCTGCCCACACCCCACTGACCCTCACTGGATGGAGCAATGGCACTGTCGTCCCATTCCAGGTTGGTGGAGGTGACAGAGTTGAAGGAGTTGAGGGAGAGGCTGTCGGAGCCGTGCACGGAGCTGGGCAGGCGCTCCTCGAAGTCCAGCAGGTGCTGAGGTTTGTAGTAATCCGGCATGTACGGGGCCAGATCCAGGTACGGAGCATCCTGCAGGCCAGGGAGCGCTCACAGTCAGCCTGCACTGCCCCAGCTGGGGGGAAAGGCCACCCCACCAAAATAGTGGGACTGCCCCTTGAAGGTCCCTTCTCAGTGTCCATCTCAGAGGAAACCCAGTGGTTTTACCCAGGGTTATCCGGTGGATTTGTGTTTTCTGAAGGGACACCAGGGTTTTGTACCACACTTGCAGAGCTCAGCTCCTTTATCCCCATCAATCTGCCCTGCAGCTGCCTTGTTCCTCCTCCAAGCAGTGAAGAACTGAGCAACAGGAATAAATCCCATTGCTGGATCCCCAAAGACCTAGAAGTCTTTCCCAAAATCATCAGCATCATCTGAAAGTCCACCCTGGACCAAGCGGAGGGATCTGTCCCACCCTGGACCTCCCCTGCTCCACATTCCCACTCTCCCAGAGCTCGGAGAACAGATGAAACTCTCACCAGGTCCAAGTCAAAGCGGATGAACTCCAGCCCAGACACCAGTGTTAAGAACAAGGTCAGATGGTCGTGACTGCAGACCAGGGCGTTCCTGCCACAGGGAGGAACAAAAGAGCTTTACAGATGAGGGAAAGAGGAGAAGCAGCTACAAGGGCCCTTCTGTTTCTTTGGGGGCGTCTCTGAGCTGCCACAGATTGGCCTGGAGCTGGCAGCCCACTCCTTGCCTCTGTGGGCAGCCACTGTGTGCTGTCCCCAAACTGAGCTACAGGTTCCAGCAAAGCTGGGTGCCTGAACAGGAGCTCAGCAGCTCCTTGGAAATAATGGAAAAATATAAAGGGGACTGCAGAGTAAAAGCAGGAACTAGGAGAAATGCTTGCAGGCCTCATAGAGTTAAGAGGACAGTGTGTTCACATCTAGGACCTTTAAACTAACCATGTAAATCCCACAAAGAAAAAAAATAAACCCTGATCAACTGCTCGTTCCCTACTGGCAAATTCAGGCTGCCTTCTGACCAGGAGGGATGTCAAATGCTACACAAAGAAGGAGCTGGAATACTTACTTGACATAGTACTTGTGCAGCAGGCTGAGGTTCTCCTGGAACAGTCTCAAGTAGCTCTCCAAGGAATTTTCATTGAGGGCAAGGTATAGCCAGGCCCGGCCTGGAAACAGAGCAGCAGAGAGATTTATCTGGAAACACCTGAGAAGTGACACAAGCCTAGAAATAGTCATGAATTAGTTAAAACCCCTCAGATCATTCATTTGTATCATTTGAGGGGAGCAGCTATGAGGGAAATCTGGGGTGGGGGGATGCCAGTGAGAGATTAATGATTTGGAGTAAAATTGGTGAGAGACAGGTAAAGAAGTAGCCACACAACTGTGGCCCTCCAGCAAGATGGGAGCCCTACCAGAAATGCCAGGAGATGGAAGAGGCAGAGGGAGAATTGCCATGAATCAGCCCAGGTGAGATTTGACACAAATTCTGGTGCAGAGAGAGGTGACAGTAGAGCCTGTGCTCAGCTCTGCTCTCACCAGTACAGGCCCAGGACAAGGCAGGTGTTTGGATAAGCAGGCACAGAGGATCTGGGCATGGTCCTGCATCAGAAGTGGCCTCAGTGGTCCCAAACATCTGCTATGGACAACTTGGAGCAGGGAAAATGCAGAATCACACACATGACTGCTACAGCAAGATGTGGCATGAGAGGGGATGCTCCCATCTGCCAGGAGCCCTTCCCAAGGGCATGGCCCTGCAGGACTCCCATCTGCCAGAAACCCTTCCCAAGGGCATGGCCCCACAGGGCTCCCATCTGCCAGAAACCCTTCCCAAGGGCATGGCCCCACAGGGCTCCCATCTGCCAGAAACCCTTCCCAAGGACACAGCCCAGGACTCCCATCCTTCCCAAGTGCTACCATCTGCCAGGAACTCTTTCGGATGCCACGGCCCCACAGGATTCCCATCTGTCTGGAACCCTTCCTGTGGGCACAGCCTCTTGTGTTTCAGGGCAGCAGAAGCCAGGCTACACCTCAGCATCTGACCCCGAGGCACAGTGACATTATTTCCAGACCTCACATGGTCATGGCAGGACTCCCACCTCCTTGGCTCAGGCTGCCCAGGGAAGCAGTGGAATCACCATTCCTGGAAATGTTCAAACTGTGTGTGGATGTGGCACGTGGTGGATGTGGCAGTACTGGGCTAATGGTAGGACTCAATGATCTTAGAGATCCTTTCCAACTTTAATAATTCTGCAATTCCTTTGCCTGGGACCCAGATCCCAATGGCTCCCTAGATCCACCAGCAGCCCCAGCTCCTCAGCACAGCCTGGCCCTCCCCAGGTGTCCCCACAGCGAGTGTCCCCTGAGCACTCACTGCGTCCCAGGTTGGTGGCCACGTGCTGCAGCACCTCGATCTGTTTGATGGCTTCCCGGCGCGTGAAGTGAACCACCAGCACCCAGTACCCCGAGGAAAGATCCTGCAGTCTGGAGGAAGAAAAATCCCACAGGAAAATGAAGCAAAAGCTTCATTATCTGCACCCCAATCCCTGCCCAGATGCTTTCTCCATGCTGAGGCTCCACACCAGGCTTTTTCCACGGGGAAAAGCAGCACCCCAGGGTGGGCTCCAGGCTCACCCGTAGAGCAGAGCGTGGTCCAGGTGTTCACAGAGCCGCTGCAGGACCTTGTCGTGGTTTCTGATGGCCGGTGTCTCATCTTCACAGGCAGCAAAGTAGCTCTGCAGCTGCAAAATAAGAGATGGGATGGCTGGAGTGCCCTTCTCCAGCCCACGAGGAGCAGGTGGAGGTGCCAAAACGTTCATATCCAGCACTGAACAGTTTTTTGTGATCTCTCAGCTTGCTAAACCCTGTTGCAGGTTTTACTTATGGGGCACAGCCGATGGTTTTGAGAGGATCCTGAGGCAACAACTACAGGGAGAACCTTGCCCAAGGTCCCCACATCTCACAGCCCAGCAGTACCATGGTGGCTGCACAACCAAGTTCCCCAAAGGTGAGCAGCCTCTTCCCTTCCAGCCAACACTACAGCAGAGGTGGTTCCTCTGCAACCACCACAAAGTGGTTCAGAGCAGAAACAAACCCCAGCTCTGCTCTGTTTCTGGCTCTGACACGGATGAGGCCTCTCCTTGGTTTTGCTAGAAATCCCAGAAATCCCTTGCACCCAAATCCTATATCCCTTCCCAGCTGACCCACAGGCCTCCTCCTGCCCCCAGAGCTTAGGGATCTATTTAGGTCCTGTCTCACACACCCTTGGCATCCAGGCAGGGAGATTACTCTCCTGGGATGTAATCTCAGCTGGACAGGCCATGGCTGTTTGCTGACAATGTGCAAGGACAGCTCAGCTGAGCCACAACAATATTAGAGACAATATATATGTCATTTTAGTGACCTAACATGTCTTTGCCAAACCTCACGAGATGATAGATGTGTAAAACCCAAAAACTTGACATTACTGTGCTTGTGAAGTCTGACCTGTCCCCCAAAACAGGTTTCTCCTCCAGAATTATTACCAGGGAAGCCCCTTTTGGAAAAATCATCCAGTCTTGCTGTGCAGTTACCCAGGGGTCGGAGAACACCTCGGGGGGGGAACTGATCCCAACAACACTCTTGGGAGCATGAACATATTGAGCTCCAACACCCTCCTGGCCTGAAGACCTTGAACCCCTCTGGAGCTCTTAGGTAAGATGGCAGAGCCAGGCAGGCTCCTGCATGGAGCTGGTCCCAGCCCTCATGTGAGAGAAAACTGCTGAGCCTGGAGAATGGCAGCCAGAGCTCCCCTGTCCGATGGCACAGCCCTGCTCTGCCCGTCCCTGTCCCTGTCCCTGTCCCAGCAGGTGAATCCCCTGGGGAAGCAGGTGGTGAGGTGCAGAGGTGGTGATTGCAGAGGCACCTGTGGGTGTTCTGGAGATCCTCAGGAGCTTTCACAACATGCAGGTGAGACCTGGAACATTTCAGCTCAACAGCTCCTATCCATTTCTGGGAGGAAGCTTTTCCAGAAGATTCCCACTATTCACAGGCAGCCCAGACTGAAGCAGAGAGGAAAATGCCCTAAAATTCCACTATTTAAGAAAAATTTCAGGAGGTACTTGCAGCCAGTGTTTGAAGGTGCAGCAAGAACACCAGAGGAAGAAACAAACCTATAATTTAGAGCCATATCCCTTGGGTGATGGATGGATGGCGTCATGGGGATGATCTCCAAGAGCTGGAGCTCACTAAAATATCCCATTTTCGGGAAAATTGAGGCAGAGGCAAAGATCTCACAGGACATGAGCCAGCACTTGAAGGCAGAAATTCCCAGCTTGTCCCAACCAGGCTGTGGGCTCTGCAGGGAGCTGGGGCACCCTTGGAGGAGGTTCTGGGTGGTTCTGCAGGCTCTGTGCTGGACTGGGGAAATGCAGCTGGGGGGAACAAGAACAAACCAGGCATTTCATGAACTCACCACTGAAAAAAAAAGGAGACACAGCTTGGGGAGGTCAGTTTGGAGGAAACTTGGGAGCCTGTCTGTGCCTCTGACCAGAGGAATTCCTCGTGACAGAGACACTCCAAGCCTGGGCAGCAAGAGAGATGAGGAAATAGAAGTATTTCCTCTTTTTTCTTTCCTCATTTCCCCCAAAATAACTCAGAAATTTGTCATGCTCCTTCCTGCAGCCAGTGCACAGCTCCCATCCCTCTCCATGGATTGTCCCATTCCTGTCATCCAAGGGTGCAAACTATTAGCAAATGGTGGCTGTCTCCACCTCAAAAATTGATTTCTCTGCCTTGGAAAAGCCCAATCTTCCCCCAGGAAGGGGTTTAGGTTCTGAAGAGCTCATTCTTTGTTATACCAAGGGCTGGTGTCCCTTTAGCTGCTCTGCAAGGAGCACTGAGCCTCCTGCTCTGCACAAACCAGCTCCCCCTGCATCCCTGTTCCTGGGGAGGCTGCTGGAAAACCTGGCCCCACGGCCATACCAGAGCAAACTCACCCCAAAAGGCTCAACCCTGTCCCTGTAGCACACCAGGGGCCAGAGGATGGGCTGCTGTGACCGTGCTTTGCTCAGAGTCACGGGCTCACAGCAGCCCAGAGGGCGGGAAAGGCACGCTCAGCACTTTGGGATCGGGATCCTGGCACCCCGAGTCACGGCCTTTTAGGGGCTGTGGGTCACAGGAAGCCACGAGGGCTCGCTCCCCCGACATGTGCCACCACGTCCCCACACAGCACTGCACCCAGGGATGGTGCCACTCCCAGCATCCCTCCACAACAAACATGGCCAAAGGCTGCCAGTGCCCAGCCAAGGGTGGGCACGGCTCACTGGAGCACAATTCCCACAAGAGACCAGCCAGGTGAATCCCTGCCCAGCCACCCTGACCAGGGAGGAAACAAGACACAGCAAGCCTCAGGATCTCCTGGGTGGAGTCATGCCTCCAGCCAGGGTGGGGAAACACTTGCAAAAGCTGATGGGGAGGTGTTTCTGGCTTGGGAAGAAGGGTGAAGACACACAGAGAAAAGTTAGGATGAAACAGCTTTCCCAGCTGGGGAACAAAGTCCAGCTGTGCCATTTTTCAAAGATCCAATGCCTAGCTGAAAATTTGTAGGAATTATGGCCATGAGTATCATGACACAGCACCTGTGTGGTGATGGCAGCAGTGATGTGGCACTCTCCCAAAAAATGGCATTTTACAGAGTGTTTATGTGGAGTCTCCTGTAAGTCGTTATAAAACACACACAGATAATTGAAGCAGCCTCTCCTTCTGCAGTCAGACCTGTCTGGGAGGTGGTGACCAACTTCATGAGGCATCCACAAAGCAGCTCCCTGACACAGCTGGGCAGTGAGCCCAGCTGGAGCCAGGGACATCAGCAAGGAGGCAAATAATTGGGTTAAAAACGCCATCCCTGGGTTTCTGGAGAGATGCTCTTCCCCTTGTCTCCTCTGCGCCCCAAATCCAGAAGGAAGGGCTGAAGGCTGGCTCAGATGGAGGACTCCTGCTCATGAGGGGCACAGCAATGCCTGGAGCCCTGACCCGGGGCTATTTATAGACATTCCTGTGGCCAAAAGAAGCCCTGCTGGCATGCAGAAGGCATCCCAGCCATCCAGGCACCGGGACCACTCTGCAGCCCCGGCCAGGTCTGAGCACCAGCACTCCTGGGACAGAACCTGCTCAGGGAGAGCGCCAACAGCAGCCCAGCCACGGGCTGAAAACACCTGGGAGAGCCTGCAGCAGAACAGGAACAGACCTGGCTGCCACTGGGAAACACTCACACCACGTCCCCACTGAGGAGGAGGAGGATTTAATTGCTGTTTATCAATCACAGGTTCATTTTTCTAGCAGTGACACACCTCACCCCATGCCGGCACACACGAGAGAGGCTCTTCCTTGCACAATTTGATAACCTATTACTGCAGTGGTTCTCAATGAGTGTGAAGATTTCCAGGCTGATCTGCAGAGCTCCTGTGTTGCAAAGGAAGCCAACAAATAATCAGGGAGGTGTTCTGGAAAGCCCATTCCTGAATCTAATCGTTCTTGTGGTGGTTTTGAAATCCCTTCAGTAATTCTAAAACCTCACTGGAATACTGAAATAGTCTCCTGACCTGTTCAGGGCTGGTCACAGCTCAACTGAGTCCACATCACTCCTCTGGAAATCTGCCCTGCAGATGTTTCACCAGCAGCTTTCCAACATCAATTCCATTTCACTTGTTCTGCTTGGTATTTCCCTGGCAGGACAAACACAGCGGAAGAACAACAAACACCCTTTGCATTCCTCAGCTCCTTAACTGGGATTGGAAAGGTGCTTTAAAACCCTCATTCCCACCCACAGCATACGGACTGAGGTGAGGGGTTTTCCCCAGCTGGAAGAGCTGAGCACCCTCAGGAGCAATCCTGGAGCTCCAGGGAGCACAAGAAAGGGAAACTGACTTTGTCCCAAGCGATGACAGCTCAGTGCCAAGGGAAGACACACGGGAAGGGCCAGGACAGACACCTCAGAGCTGTCACTTTCACACCTGGTCAGGGTGTACAGATGTGCAATAGCAAATGGATACAGAAGAGGCTGATCTCCTGTGCCTGGAAAACTCCTAGTTTTCCACATCATCCATAAAAGCAGGCTGAACGCCATGGCAGGGGCACTTGTCTTTCTCATGCACTTGTACAACACAAAGCCCTAAAACTCCAGCTCTAGCAGGACATTTTGGAGGTCACACACATGATCTGACTCAACACTCCTTACAAACCAGCACTGGCCTCAGTGCCCAGCTTCCCACTTTGTGCACCTTGCCTGGATCTTGGGGTTTTTTTCAGAAAAAAACACACCAGGCACATTCAGAGCATCAGCACCTGGAAGACACCATGAGTGCCACTGGAGCAACCCGGAGATGTGGAGAGACAGGAGACTGGCTCAGGTGAAGCTGAAACCCCCAGTAACGTTGCTCCTTGCTGGAAACACTGAATTTTGAAGCACTCCCAATCCAATGCCAGCAATGTGTCTCCCGGGACACATACACTTCTCAGCTCACATCCCCCAAGGCTTTTCTGGGGCTTTCCTTCACTATTTCTAAGCAGCAAAGCTTGCAGCAGGCTGGACCCATGTGTGACTCAGACAAGGATAGGTTTTTTTCTAGTGGGAATTTTTAGGGAGCATCCCGTTCCTCTGTCACAGCGAGCAGAGCAGGGGCTGAGCACAGAATTGGCTGCAGTGGAAAAGGGTCTCTGAGCTAACCAAAGGCAGGTGGGAAGGTAACATGCTCAGCATAAC